AGAACCGATACATTAGTAATGAGCTTGAAGCTCTTTAAGTACATCCAAGAAGGGGAGGGAATGGATGGGGAAGGGAATCGGGGGCAATCCATAGGGATTGGGGGTAATCCTAAGGCAATCTCCAATTGGTGGGTTGGAGATTGCTTGGAGATTACATTTGGGTTTGGTTGGGATGTAGGTGTACACCCAACCAAACACAATGTGCAAACTACACTACTCTAGGATATAGAAAATACAAAGTACAAAGTATGAGATTAAAGGCTAACACTAACACCCCCCCATAGGCGTCAATCGAACTCATGGTAGAGAGGGTGGTGCACAGAGCCCCATGGTGCCTAGGAGACGGTGGTGGGGAACTTTCCCAAGGGTCTTGGTGAACAGATCAGCCAGGTTGCAGTCAGATGCAACGTATTCCACTTTCAGCTGCTCCTATTGGACAAGGTCACGGATGAAGAAGTGCCGAAGTTCAATATGCTTGGTGCGGGTGTGATACACAGGGTCTTGAGAGATGTGGATGGTACTCTGGTTGTCACACCAGAGGGTAGGGGCGGACTGTGGGAAACCAAGCTCCTGGAGTAGGAAGGTGAGCCAACGGGCCTCCTGAGCAGCCATGGTGCCTGCGTAGAGCTCTGCCTCACAGGAGGAGAGGGAGACTGCAGACGACCTGGTGGAGCGCCAACTGACAATTCCGCTTCCAAGGGTGAAGCAGTACCCCTGAGAGGAGCCTCGGTCGGTCTGGTCATCAGCTCAGGAGGAGTCGGTGTAACCTTCCAGGCGAGGAGGGGAGAGCCCACCGAGTGTGAGAACGTGAGACTTGGTGCCCTGAAGATAGCGCAGCACCCGCTTCGCCGCCTTCCAGTGAAGATCAGTGAAGCGTCCAGGGGCCACGTAGCGAGAGAGGACACTGACAGGATAGGCCAAGTCCGGTCGGGTGCACATCATGGCGTACATGAGGGACCCAACAAGCTCCGGGTATGGCTCAGAGCAGGCCTCTGGTGTGGGTACAGCTGGAGCAGTGAGGAGGTGTTGCAGCGGCAGCGGGGTGGCAACAGTTGTGCACAGCTCCATCTCAAACCGCTTGAGCACATTGTCGATGTAGAACTCCTGGGAGAGTGAAATGGTGCAAGCCTGACGATCACGAGTGATCTCCATCCCCAGGTAGTGCTTGAGGTCACCGAGGTCTTTCATCTGGAGAGCCTTGCTCAGTGTTGCCTGGACAGAGGTCATCTAGGCCGAGTCCTTGGCAACGAGGATGAAATCATCCACGTAGACCAGGATGTAGAATGGCTCAGAATGACGGCGGATGAAGAGAGTCGGGTCAGCAGTTGAAGGATGGAAGTCCAGGGAGAGGAGGACTTCTTTCACCTTGTTGTGCCATTCGCGAGGGGCTTGCTTAAGGCCGTAGACGGGGCGATTCAGCTTCCAGACAGTGTTGGGAGGGAATTCTCCTGGGAAGCCTTCTGGTCTGTCCATGAACACCGTCTCCTTGAGACGTCCTTGTAGGAAGGCGGATGACGCATCCATGGATTTGATCTCAAAGTCTTCTCAAGCTGCGACATCCATGAGCGTACGAATGGTGGGAGGTTTGGATGTGGGGGAGAAGGTTAGGAAGAAGTCGCGGTACTGCTGCTGGGTGAAGCATTTGGCTACGTAACGCGCTTTGAACACCGGGGCCTCGTCTGGGAGCTGTTTTACACGGAACAACCACTTGCCCCCGACGATGTTGACTCCTGGAGGTGGTGTCTCGTCGTCGAAGGAGTGGTTGCGGGTGAATGCTGCAATCTCCGCTTCCATGGCACACGCCATTCGGCAGCATGAGGGCCTGAGAGAGCCTCTTGGACGGTGAGAGGGATAGGGATGGTCGGGTTCTCCGCGAAGTTGAGGGAGGGTGAGGCACTGATGTCGGGGAAGATGTGCGAGAGCTGAGGAATGATTGCATGAAGATCACACAGCTCCTCATGCCTGTCTTCGAGAAGGGTAGAGGGCACATCCCCCCCAGCAGGAGGAGGCGGTGTGATCGCCGTGTATCGAAGAACCAGTGCTAGTGGAAGAGCCGCGCCATGCGAACGAGTGCCATGAGCCACCGAAGAAGAGGGTGGGGCAGGCGGTGTCGGAGGGGTTGACTTCGGAGGCTTGGGCGGGGGAATGGGCCGCCGGTGGTACGTGATCAGCTCGGGCGACTGTGGGAGAGCGGGTTCCTCTGTGGTGGGGGGAACCGGGGGAGGAGGTGGGGCCGGAGGGTGGGACCGCCGATGGTAGGTGATAGGTGCGCTCGAAGCTGGCTGCACAGTCGGCGGGGACGGTGCGGTGGCAGGAGGGGTAGGGGGTGAAGGGGCCGGAGCAGGCGAGAGGTCAGGAGGCGCATCAACGTCTGCCCACACGAGGGAGGGTGGGTCAGGGAGAGGGTCCCGTCCCGAAGTGGAGTAGAATGGGCGGGTCTCATCAAAGACAACGTCGCGGCTCCGGACCAACTCCTGAGTGGAGGGATTGAGGAAGAGGTAGTCAGGCGAATCGGCGTTGTGTCCGAGGTAGATGCATGTCTGGGTCTTGGGACCGAGCTTGCCGCCGTGCTGCCGTCGAGCCTGAGGGTTGAGGAGGACATAGGCGGTGCACCCCCAAACGCGAAGAGAGCGAGCAGTGGACGTTTTCCCGAGCCAGAGTGTGGTTGGAGTGGTGTCGGGAAGATGCGGGTGGGGGTAAAGGTTGTAGAGGAGGGCGGCGTGGTAGAGAGCGTACCCCCAGAGAGAGTGTGGAGCGTTGGAGTGGCTGAGGAGGCACCGAGTGATCTGCACCAGGGTGTGGTTGCGGCTCTCAGCTATGCCGTTCTGCTGCGGGCTGTCAGGGAGGGTGAAGTTTTGTTGGATGCCTTCTGAAGAGCAGAAGGCTTTGAGCTTGTCGTTGCAAAACTCACCACCACCATCTGAGTGGAGGCGCTTGACTTTGCGGTCAAAGGCGGTCTGTGCCTGTTCAACCCACGCCATGAGGACCTCTGGAACCGCAGCCTTAGTGTGGAGGAGGTGAACAGAGACGTAGCGAGAGTGGTCATCGACGATAACAAGGAAATAGCGATAACCACCTCGTGCGGGAACAGGGGCAGGGCCCCAGACGTCCAGGTGTACCAGGTCCTGTGGTCCTGCTGCGACAGAGGGTGAGGCCGGGTGGGGCTGTTGACGCAATTTGCTCTTGGTGCAGTCAAGGCACGTGGGAGCGGGGGAGTTTGGTGGTGGAGGAAGTGAGGCTGGCAGGCCGAGTAGAAGTTTCTTGGAGACCATGTCAACAAGTGTGCGGAAGTTTGGGTGCCCGAGCTGATGGTGGTAGAGTATGGTCGGGTTGGAGAAACTGCGGCACGAGCATGGTGAGGTATTCGCCGCTGTTTGGGTGGTTGACACCTGTGGGATGGGTACTTGCAGCGTGTAAAGGCCGCTGCTGTTGAGGGTGAAACGAGTCAAGACCTTGTTGGTGAGTGGGTCGAGGATATCACCATAGTTCTCGTTCTCCCAGAAGATGGTGCGTAGCCCAGCTTCCTGAATTTCTGTTTGGGCCACGAGATTGTGGCGGAGTGAAGGCACGCACATTCCAGTGACAGTGCCGGAAGGGAAGGCGGGGCACGGGACTGTGGATGAACCCTTGGCATGAGTGGTGAAGCTTGAGTCAGCTCCTAGGAGAGAGATGGGTGTTGCGTAGGGTTTGAAAGAGAGTGTCTCCTTGAGTACAGTGTGTGTGGCCCCGCTGTCGAGTGTGAACTCTATGTATTGTGGTGCTTGTGATGAGCCGAGGTACTGGGAGGAAGCTTCATTAATCATGGCAGTGCCAGGGAACAACAGGTTGATACGGGCATCAGCAGGAGCACTATCACTAGCACTAGCTGAAGCAGGGTCTTGGACCTCAACCAGGTTGGCCTTGCGCGCACGCATCCAGTTCGGTGGCCTCTTGTCTATGCCGTGGATGGCGTACGATTCGTCGTCCTTCTTCTTGAAGCACGTAGCAAGGGGGTGGTTAGTGCCACCACACACTTGTCCCTTGCGGTTGCCATACTTGACGACGTAGGTGCACGGTGGGAAGCGGTTGCGCTGGAGGGGCGCCGAGGCAAGGGCCGATGCGACACTGGCTTGAGGCATGGGAGCACGGATGGCGTAAGCCTTGGCCTGAGCCGTGGAGTCTTTCTCGGCAGAGAGGAGTGCGGTGGAGACCTTTGCAAAAGTGAGGTCTTCCGCAATCAGCGCGAGGAGCATCTTCCTTGTGATTTCATAGGTTGTGGTGAGACCAACGAGAAGAGCTGCTGCAGGGGCCTGTTCGGGGAAGACTATACCCAGCTCCTTGAGTTCGCCATGAATGGTCTGAACCTTGGCAATGTAGTCGGCCATTCCCGAGCAATCTTCAAGGCGAACCTGGAACATGCTGGGGATGAGGATGGCAACTCCGACTGCAGTCTTGTTCATAAACCGATCCTGGAGATACTTCCAGATGGCGTTGGAGGTAGGGTAGTTATGGAACGTCTTGACAAGTTCTGGAGGGGTGGAGGCGATGAAGACGCTGATAATTGCAGCATCGGCCTTCTCCCACTTCCGGTACTTCTCAACGGCTTCCTCATATGCCTTTGTGTCAGCCTCACTAGCGGATTCCGTCGGCTCGCGAGGGAGAAGGGGCTGTTTTCCCTTGCCACGGTTGAGGAGGACATCCTTGAGGTCCAATCCCTGCACGTCACGGCTCAGCAGGTGTTTGTCAACCCCATAGCTCCATGCCTTGAAGTTGGAGCTAGAGCCATCGGCGTCAAGACGGAGTGGGGTGATGGGGTTGGCCATGGTGGACGAGGCGAATGCCACGATGGAGACCCCTTAGGGTGTCGCGCGGAGTGCCGCTCTTGAGTCAACGATAGGAACTTGAGGTTTGGGGTTTCCGAAGGAGATTTTGAAGAACCGGAGGTTTAGGGTTTACGAAAGAGAATTCGAGGTTTAGGGTTTCTGAAGACGAATTCGACTGAAACGCCAATTTAGTGTCAACTACCTACTAATCCTATTCCCACACACCCCCCCACACACCACCCTCAGCTTCTCGGCTGCGCTGCTGCTCGGCTTCGCGGCTACACGGCTGCTCGGCTTCGCGGCTACGCTGCTGCTCGGCTGCGCTGCTGCTCGGCTGCGCTGCTGCACCTGTTCAGCTGTGGGAAAGGGAGGGGGATGGGGGTAGGAGTGCAGATGCGGAGCGACGGGCGGCAGCCCGAAGGTGAAGCTGCAGGGCGACGGGCGGCGGCCCGACGAGAAGCTGCAGGGCGACGGGCGACAGCCCGACGAGAAGCTGCAGGGCGACGGGCGACAGCCCGACGAGGAGAAGGAATTATGCGATGATGCTCGACGAAAACGAGCGATAGGTTAAAGCGCCGACGATGCGCTTACCAGTGAGATAGTAGATGCCGTCGAGAGTGAAGGGAAAGTGGTGCGGAAGAATTTCCGCCCACGAATGTCGAGAATCAACGGCGACGAGATTGAAGGCGGTTACGCCGAGGTTTGCGGGACGAACATCCGCAGAGATAAGAGGATCACGATCCGCGTGTGTGGTTTGAAGGGCTTTGATACCATCTCATAACTTAGGCTTAGAAGCGATACATTAGTAATGAGCTTGAAGCTCTTTAAGTACATCCAAGAAGGGGAGGGAATGGATGGGGAAGGGAATCGGGGGCAATCCATAGGGATTGGGGGTAATCCCAAGGCAATCTCCAATTGGTGGGTTGGAGATTGCTTGGAGATTACATTTGGGTTTGGTTGGGATGTAGGTGTACACCCAACCAAACACAATGTGCAAACTACACTACTCTAGGATATAGAAAATACAAAGTACAAAGTATGAGATTGAAGGCTAACACTAACAATGGGATGGGATGGGATGGGATGGGATGGGATGGGATGGGATGGGATGGGATGGGATGGGATGGGATGAGATGGGATGGGACGGGACGGGACGGGATGGGATGGTCGAGGAGAATCTGCAATTGAGGCTAGTGAGTCAAGCTTTTGAGTCGACTTAAAAGCTGATTCAAGCGGAGAAAGGGGGCAGGGGAAGAATCTACGAACAGCTACATATGTTACATACACATTGCACTTGCAGGGGATTTTACATATCCACTTGCTTCATTAGAATCAAGCAAGTGGATGTGTATGTATGTAACACACGTAACAAGCACACACACTGCATGAGCAACCCACACAGCACGACCAGACCTGCATGAATTACAAGCACATCTCGTCCTGACAAACCACACTTCATGAGCACGCCATCGTGACTACTTTTAAGGCGCCTCAAAAGCCACTTCATGAGCACGCCATCGTGACTACTTTTAAGGCCCCTCAAAAGCACGCCATCGCTGTGCTGGGTGTGGTGCGGGCACGATGCCATCGTGAATCGCGAGCAAGCATACCTTTGTGAGACACACGAGCTGGCTATTGAGTCGACTCAAAAGTCACTTCATGAGCCATCGTGACTACTCTTGAGGCACAGCAAAAGCATGACATCGTGAATCGCGAGCAAGCATACCTTCCTGAGACACACGCCAGCATAGACGAGAGCAGTGGTGGGTGTGGTGCGGGCATGTTGGGCGACGGTGGGACCCGGACAGCGTCTCAACCACACCTCACTCATACTCACAAGCAGTGGTGGGCATGGGCAGGGCATGCCAGGCAGCATTTGTTCGGACCCACACACAGCCTCTTCACCACACCTCTTACTCACATAGGACAAGCACACCTGTGCACACTGCACAGCACATAAACCACACCTCATACTCACACAGCACACATCTGAGCACACAACACCTCTATCTAAGCACACCCCTATGACGCAAGTCCCAGTGTACACAAGAGCAGTGGTGGGTGCGGGAATGTTGGGCGACGGTGGGTGGGACCCCTGGCATCTTTGCCACACCTCATTCATACTCACACATTGTACAAGCACAACTGAGCACACGCACACTCCAATGCATGACTTTTGAGTCGACTCAAAAGTCAACTCAGTACAAGCACACCTCAGCACACGCACACTCCAACGCATGACCATACCTTAAACAGGCAAGTGCCAGCGTAGACGAGCACAGTGGTGGGTGTGCACATGTTGGTTTTTGAGACGTCTAGTTTTGAGACGTCTCAAAGCACACTCCAACGCATCACCATACCTCAATCAGGCACGTGCCAGTGTAGACGAGCGCAGTGGTGGGTGTGGTGCGGGCATGCTGGGAGTAAAAGGTGAGTTTTTGAGACGTCTCAGCAACTCAATCAGGCACGTGCCAGCGTAGACGAGCGCAGTGGTGGGTGGATGCGGGCATGTTGGGCGACGGTGGGACCCACAGCAGCGTCTGTAGCGCTGTCGGCAGCACTGTAGCACTTGCACTGCACACATGAGCGTGTACCATCATACACCAACCAAAGGACGAGCATACCTCGATGAGGCAAGTCCCAGCATAGACGAGAGCAGTGGTTGGTGTGGGCATGTTGGGCGACGGTGGGACCCACAGCAGCTCAAATAGACCGCGTAGTCACATATCGCACAGGCACACCGCAGCGCACAGCACAGCACAAGCATACCTCGATGAGGCAAGTCCCAGCATAGATGAGAGCAGTGGTTGGTGTGGGCATGTTGGGCGACGGTGGGACCCACAGCAGCGGCTGTAGCGCTGTGGGCACTGTAGCACCTGCAGCTGTAGCACCTGCCACTGTAGCAGATGATAACAGCGCTGCCACTGTAGCGGGTGGACTTATAGACGACGATGACGGTGCTTCTATTGAGACATTTTGCTGCTTGAAAGAAGCTGTTACCGGTGAGGCAGAGTGTGAAGGGGAGGGAGAGGGGGAAGGGGGAGGAGCTGAGACGGGGGCAGGGGAACGAGAGGTGAGTGCTGCAGGAGAAAGGAGAGGTTGAGGGCAGGGGAAGAAAGGGAAGAAGGGGGAGGAGGAGCGAGACCAGCCTTCCATCTGCACCACTTCAAGCTTGAACGCCGGGGCGAAGGGCTGGCTGGAGCCGCTGCTGCTGCTGCCGCCGCCGCTGCTGTTTCTGGTGGTGGTGGTGCCGCTGCCGCTGCTGCTGCTGCTGCTGCTGCTGCTGCTGCTGCTGCTGCTGGTGGCACTGCCGCCGCCACTGAGCTTGGCGAGGTGGGGATCAGGTGGGAGGAACTCAGAGAAGAAGAGCAGCGAGAGCTCTCCCACTGTCATGCCGTGACGTAGAGGGATGGCCTGTAGGTGGAGCAGGGGAGAGAGAGGGTTTAGCATGGTTGGGTTTAGGGTTTAAGTGGGGGTCAGGGTGGGAGGAACTCGGAGAAGAAGAGGAGTGCGAGCTCGTCCACTGTCATGCCGTGGCGCAGAGGGATGGCCTGAGATGGAAGAGGAGAGGGTGACAAGGGGGACAGCAGACAGCGGCAGAGGCAGAAGCAGAGAGGTGGGAGTTGGAGAGCGGGGAGAGGTGAGGGTCTGGTGGCTGGGAGTAACTCGGAGAAAAGAGCTGACTTTTGAGTCGACTCAAAGGTCTGGTGGCTGGGAGTAACTCGGAGAAAAGAGCTGACTTTTGAGTCGACTCAAAGGTCTGGTGGCTGGGAGTAACTCGGAGAAAAGAGCTGACTTTTGAGTCGACTCAAAGGTCTGGTGGCTGGGAGTAACTCGGAGAAAAGAGCTGACTTTTGAGTCGACTCAAAGGTCTGGTGGCTGGGAGTAACTCGGAGAAAAGAGCTGACTTTTGAGTCGACTCAAAGGTCTGGTGGGTGGGAGTAACTCGGAGAACGGAGCTGACTTTTGAGTCGACTCAAAGGTCTGGTGGCTGGGAGTAACTCCGAGAAAAGAGCAGTGAGAGCTTTCTCACTCTCATGCCGTGACACTCAGGTATGGCATGAAGGGGGGACAGGGGAAAGTGGGGGCAGAAGTCAGAGGCCAACCCATGGGCCGACAGGTGAGTGTTGCATGGAGAAGATGGAAGGTGGCGGGAGGTGAGTGTTGCATGGAGAAGATGGAAGGTGGCGGGAGGTGAGTGTTGCATGGAGAAGATGGAAGGTGGCGGGAGGTGAGTGTTGCATGGAGAAGATGGAAGGTGGCGGGAGGTGAGTGTTGCATGGAGAAGATGGAAGGTGGCGGGAGGTGAGTGTTGCATGGAGAAGATGGAAGGTGGCGGGAGGTGAGTGTTGCATGGAGAAGATGGAAGGTGGCGGGAGGTGAGTGTTGCATGGAGAAGATGGAAGGTGGCGGGAGGTGAGCAAAAAGAAGCCCGGGAGGGTGGGAAAGAGGGGGAAGGTGGCGGGGAAGAAGGGGAAGGGGGCACCGCGGGTGTGAGCTGAGTTCTCGCACTGTCATGCTGTGGTGCAGTGGGAGGGGATGGCCCGTCCATCCCCCATGCCTCCCAACAGGTTGGGTGTGTCGAACATGAGGATGTGGCGGATGGAGGGGGAGAGGGATGGTACAAGCATGGTACTGGGGCCCTACTGACCTTCCTCCCAACGAAGGAGGCGTGTTGGGGGGGCTCCGTGACTGGCCCGTCCACCAGCACGCCTCCCAGCGGGTTGGGTGTGTGGAGCACAAGAGAGCTGCAACTCAACCTATCTCCCCAGCAATATGCGGGCTTCTCAAAAGGGAAGCAAGTATGCACCTTTCTCCCAACAAAGGAGGCGTGTTGAGGCTCTGTGACTGGCCCATTCACCACCATCCCTCCCAGCAGGTTTGGTCTATCGAGCACGAGGACGCGAGTGATAGAAGGAGAGAGGGATGGTGCATGGTAGGGGAGCACTACACACCTTCCTGCCAACAAATGAAGCGTGTTGAGGCTCTGTTATTGGTCCGTCCACCACCACCCCTCCCAGTGGGTTGGGTCTATCGAGTACGAGGAAGCGGCGAATGGACGGGCAGAGGGCAGCTGCCACGAGGCAGTCGTAGAGCGTCCAGATGAAGGTGTAGAAACGAGCCTGGGAAGAAATTATTGGAGAAAGGAGGGGGGGAGGAGAAGATTACAAGGGAGGGTGGAGAGACAGATGGAGGGGGAGAGAGCAGCTGCGACGAGGCAGCCATAGAGCGCCCAGATGAACATGTAGAAGCGAGCCCCCAGGAAGGTTTGAATGAAGATTAGGACGAGTTACCTGTTGGATCCAGGTCGAAACTATTTCCGTAAGCAGCTGCGACGAGGCAGCCATAGAGCGCCCAGATGAACGTGTAGAAGCGAGCCCGCACAAAGCAGCGGCAAGGATAGCCCAGTACGCGAGCCTCGCTCACTCAAACTGCTCTTTGTGTGCTCACAACAGCCCCCTCTGGACCGCACTGCACTCACCCCAACATCTTGAATGTCAAACACAATGGTATCAGCGCCAGAGGCTTCAAAACACTTGGCTATGGATTGGGAATCCTGGCGCACACGTTATACAAAGGGAGCAGCACAGGGGGGGAGGGTACATGGAAGGGTTGGCTAAAAAACTGATTGAAATTGTTGAGTTGACCTTTGAGACATACAAAGGGAGCAGCACAGGGGGGGAGGGTACATGGAAGGGTTGGCTAAAAACCTGATTGAAATTGTTGAGTTGACCTTTGAGACATACAAAGGGAGCAGCACAGGGGGGGAGGGTACATGGAAGGGTTGGCTAAAAAACTGATTGAAATTGTTGAGTTGACCTTTGAGACATACAAAGGGAGCAGCACAGGGGGGGAGGGTACATGGAAGGGTTGGCTAAAAAACTGATTGAAATTGTTGAGTTGACCTTTGAGACATACAAAGGGAGCAGCACAGGGGGGGAGGGTACATGGAAGGGTTGGCTAAAAAACTGATTGAAATTGTTGAGTTGACCTTTGAGACATACAAAGGGAGCAGCACAGGGGGGGAGGGTACATGGAAGGGTTGGCTAAAAACCTGATTGAAATTGTTGAGTTGACCTTTGAGACATACAAAGGGAGCAGCACAGAGGGGGAGGGTACATGGAAGGGTTGGCTAAAAAAATGATTGAAATTGTTGAGTTGACCTTTGAGACATACAAAGGGAGCAGCACAGGGGGGGAGGGTACATGGAAGGGTTGGCTAAAAACCTGATTGAAATTGTTGAGTTGACCTTTGAGACATACAAAGGGAGCAGCACAGGGGGGGAGGGTACATGGAAGGGTTGGCTAAAAACCTGATTGTTGAGTTGACTTTTGAGACGTCTAAAAGGTCGGAAGAGCTGGCTAGGAACCTGATTGGAATTGTTGAGCAGGGTCTCTTTTGGGAATTCTAAAAAGGGACTCGCAAATTGCAAAACCTGAACAGGGAATCGTGGTGAGAGCCTGGAGGATTCTGGCTCTCAGGACGCAAAAACAAACGGATGCAGCACGGAAGGGGGGAATGATAGATGGAAGGCTAGCTTAGAAAAAAAAAAAAAAAAAAAGTTGAGCATGGTATCAGGCAGAGGCTTCAGAGCACTTGGCACTCTGGCTGGCTGGCTGGCTGGCTGGCTGGCTGGCTGGCTGGCTGGCTGGCTGGCTGGCTGGCTGGCTGGCTGGCTGGCTGGCTGGCTGGCTGGCTGGCTGGCTGGCTGGCTGGCTGGCTGGCTGGCTGGCTGGCTGGCTCACCTGCTCCCCACCTGCCCCTCTCCTCTCCCTCACCTGCTCCCCACCTGCCCCTCTCCTCTCCCTCACCTGCTCCCCACCTGCCCCTCTCCTCTCCCTCACCTGCTCTCCACCTGCCCCTCTCCTCTCCCTCACCTGCTCTCCACCTGCCCCTCTCCTCTCCCTCACCTGCTCTCCACCTGCCCCTCTCCTCTCCCTCACCTGCTCTCCACCTGCCCCTCTCCTCTCCCTCACCTGCTCTCCACCTGCCCCTCTCCTCTCCCTCACCTGCTCTCCACCTGCCCCTCTCCTCTCCCTCACCTGCTCTCCACCTGCCCCTCTCCTCTCCCTCACCTACTCTCCACCTGCCCCTCTCCTCTCCCTCACCTGCTCTCCACCTGCCCCTCTCCTCTCCCTCACCTGCTCCCCACCTGCCCCTCTCCTCTCCCTCACCTGCTCTCCACTTGCCCCTCTCCTCTCCCTCACCTGCTCTCCACCTGCCCCTCTCCTCTCCCTCACCTGCTCTCCACCTGCCCCTCTCCTCTCCCTCACCTGCTCTCCACCTGCCCCTCTCCTCTCCCTCACCTGCTCTCCACCTGCCCCTCTCCTCTCCCTCACCTGCTCTCCACCTGCCCCTCTCCTCAGCCTCACCTGGGACTATCCTACCCTCTGCTCCCCACCTTCTGTGTCTCATCTTGCTTTCCCTCTGCTCCGCCTTCTGCTCCCCACCTGCCCCCCACCCTTAAGCCCCACCTGCCAATACCCTCTGCTCTGCCTCCCCTGCGCCTCACCTTGCCGTAGAGATCGAATACGGGGAGACCGGTCTTGGGGTCCCTTGAGGCACACTCCAACTTGCCTGCTCCCCACCTTCTTCCCACCTTCTTCTCACCCGATTCTCACCTCCGAGGCCCCACCCTCCATCTCCCTTCTCCTTGCCTCCCCCCTGCCTCCCCTGCTCCTCACCTTGCCGTACAGATCGAATATGGGGAGACCGGTCTTGGGGTCTTTAGAGGCGGATTCTGACTTGCCTGCTCCCCGGGTCTGCCTCACCTGCACCTCCCCCCTGCCTCACATGCAATCCTGCCTCCCCTCCTCCTCACCTTGCCGTAGAGATCGAATATGGGGAGACCGGTCTTGGGGTCTTTAGAGGCGGATTCTGACTTGCCTGCCTGCAAGGGTGGGTGGGGTGGGAGGTTGGGAGGGGTCACTGAAGGTAGGAAGGAAACGAAAGGGAAAGCAGGTTTGGGGTCCCCTGGTTGAGACTGCGAGGATACGAAAGGAAGGAAAACTCGCTGTCTCACCTGCGCTGTGCCTCTGATCTGATCTGATCTGATCTGAACCCATGCTCTCTCTGTGGCTCCAACTCGGCCATGAGGTGTAAGGGAGGTTGGGGGGTGCGCAGCTGCTGCTGGGCACCCGTCTTACGATGTGGAAGGAACGACAGCTCGTGCCCACCCACGCACCACCTGTCTTGCAATGCAACTCTCTCACCTGCGCCGTGCCTCGGGACCCGTGCTCGGGCCCAAACATGGGCAGCAGGTGGAAGGGAGGTGGGGAGCGCACAGCAGCATTTCACCCCTCTAAGTTCTACCAGGGTTAAAAGGGACAGACCAGTGCCCACACACGCACCACCTGGGTAGAGGTAAGTGACTCACCTGCACCGTGCATCGGGACCCGTGCTCGGGGCCAAACATGGGCAGCAGGTGGAAGGGAGGTTGGGGTTGAGAAGCTGCTGCTGAGCACCCCTCTAGCGACGTGCAAGGAACGACAGCCCGTGCCCACACACACACACACCACCTGCCTTGCAAGTGCCTCACCTGCGCTGTGCCTCTGAATCCGTGCTCGGGCCAAACATGGCCACCAGGTGGAAGGGAGGTTGGGGGTGGGGGTGGTGCAGCAAGAAGGAGAGTGCACAAGTACTTTCCACCAAGGTAGCAGCAGCAAGTGCCTCACCTGCGCTGTGCCTCTGAATCCGTGCTCGGGCCAAACATGGCCACCAGGTGGAAGGGAGGTTGGGGGTGGGGGTGGTGCAGCAAGAAGGAGAGTGCACAAGTACTTTCCACCAAGGTAGCAGCAGCAAGTGCCTCACCTGCGCTGTGCCTCTGAATCCGTGCTCGGGCCAAACATGGCCACCAGGTGGAAGGGAGGCTGTGAGTGAAAAGCTGCACCCCTCTCACCACGTGCAAGGAATGACAACTCGTGTGCACCTGCTTTTGAGTCGACTCAAAAGCTGCACCCCTCTCACCACGTGCAAGGAATGACAACTCGTGCGCACCTGCCTTGCCTATAAGCGCCGCACTTGCGCCGAGAGCTAGCTTTCTATGCTCCTGACCGACCTCACCTCACCTGCGCTGTGCCTCTGAACCCGTGCTCAGGGCCAAAGATGGCCACCAGGTGGAAGGGAGCTTGGGAGTGCACAGCCGTGAAACCATGAATGGCATCTGCCTGGGGGAGGGCGGGATGGAGGGAGGAAGGGTGAGGGAAAAGAGGTGGGAGAAACAGGGGAGCTGGCTAGGAGGTGGAAGGGAGGTTGCAGGTGCGCAGCTGTGGAACCATGCATGGCGTCTGCCTGTGTGATTGTGGGATGGAGGGAGGAGGGAGAGTAGAAGTGATGAGACAAGGGATGAATTTCTCCTAGGGAGTGCATAGCTGTGGCATGGCACCATCTGAGGTGTATTTTGAGGCGCCTCAAAATACACCTCAACGCGATGAGACAAGGGATGCATTTCGCCTAGGGAGTGCATAGCTGTGGCATGGCACCATCTGAGGTGTATTTTGAGGCGCCTCAAAATACACCTCAACGCGATGAGACAAGGGATGCATTTCGCCTAGGGAGTGCACAGCTGTGGCATGGCACCATCTGAGACGCGAAAGGGCGGTTGGGGGTGCGCGGCCGTGGAACCATGCATGGCGTCTGCCTGTGTGATTGTGGGATGGAGGGAAGAGGAAGGGAGAGCGGAAGTGACGGGGCAAGTTTGAGAGGTGGAAGAGAGGTGGGGAGTGCACAGTTGTGAAACCATGAATGGCATCTGCCTGTGTGATGGGGCACCGGATGCAAGTGATGGGGCACGGGATGCAAGTGATGGGGCACCGGATGCAAGTGATGGGGCACGGGATGCAAGTGATGGGGCACCGGATGCAAGTGATGGGGCACCGGATGCAAGTGATGGGGCACCGGATGCAAGTGATGGGGCACCGGATGCAAGTGATGGGGCACCGGATGCAAGTGATGGGGCACCGGATGCAAGTGATGGGGCACGGGATGCAAGTTTGAGAGGTGGAAGGGCGGTTGGGGGTGTGCAGCTGTGAAAGAATTGCCTGAGGAGGTAAAAGGGAGGTTGCTTTGTTGCAGAATTGTTACAATACAGCTTTGTTACATCATTCTCACATGACTGCTGGTTGCAGCATTGCTACAGCATTTTCTCTAGACTTGATTCAGCAGTCTGAGAATCTGATTCAGCAGTCTGAGAATCTGATTCAGCAGTCTGAGAATCTGATTCAGCAGTCTGAGAATCTGATTCAGCAGTCTGAGAATCTGATTCAGCAGTCTGAGAATCTGATTCAGCAGTCTGAGAATCTGTTTCAGCAGTCTGCGGCTCACCAAGCGGGTGAGATCTCGAAGCACAGACGTGGCACTGGCAATCAGTCCGGCCTGCTAGGCCGGCGTTTGAGGCAGGCCAAGAATGTTACAGCGTTGCTTCAACAGTCGTTTGAACATTGTTTCGGCAGTCTGAAGCTCACCAAGTGTGTGAGATCTCGAAGCACTGACGTGGCATTGGCTATCAGCCCGACCTGGAAAGGAAGAGGGGAAAGGGGGACACAGGAAGGGAGGGAGCGAAACGTTCCAGCTCTGTTACAGCATCGTTCCAACAGTGTGTGAGGCGAGGCGAGGCTCACCAAGCGTGTGAGATCTCGAAGCACAGACGTGGCACTGGCTATCTATCTTTTGAGTCGACTCAAAAGCACGTGGCATTGGCTATCTATCAGTCCGACCTGTCAGCAGTAACCAGATGATGAGGGGGAAGGTAAAGGAAGGGGGGAGGGGAGGGGAGAGAGGAACAGGGAGAGGTCCGAATGAGACGGCGTGGGGAAGGGAGGGGAGCATATGAAGGAGGGGAGGGGAGGGGGAAGGGAATGAGGTGGAGGGGGAAGGGAGGAAGAGGGACAGGCGAAGCACTGACGTGGCATTGCCAATGGCGATCAGCCCGACCTACTGGCCTGGGTGAGACGGTGAGGGGAAGGGGAGAGCGGACTCGATTGTCCAAAGGGGGCCTACTATAGAACCTTGTAACGTGTACATTGCCCGGACCCATGCTTCCTCCTCCTCCCCTCCCTCGCTCGCTCTTAACGCGTATGGGCCCACCAAAGCGCGGCCTTATAACGCACACGTGCATGAATGCTTTACTCCCGTTCTCCCACCCACCTTGCTCCCACGCAGCCTCTCGAACGACTCGGCGCGCAGCACGTCGCAGCCCGTGAGGATGCCGCCATGGCTGCCGCCGCGCGCCGCCTCGTTCTGCCGCCCATCACGGCGCGAAGCGCCCTGCCCCATGACAAATGCTCGTCAAACCTAGTTTCGCTTCGTCCACCCCCTTGAATGACAACCCTATCGCAAATTCCCCTGGTGCATTACGGTGGTTCACCTTATTTCGCTTGTACTACTAGCTGCGGAGCAGGCAAGACTGAAATGTACGTTCCGCGTTGACGATTCCTCTGAAGCGACAACGAAAATGAGTAAGGGGGGGTCCAGCTCGTACATTTACTGTTCGTAAATCCCCTCAGTTACCACATTTTTTGTGGTAACCCTTTATTGAACGTGTCCAGCGGACACAATCAGCTTCTGTTCGCAAGACGGCACGCCCCATGCACGTACCTAGAGTCGTCTGACTCACGTTACTGGAATCAGCAGGGTCGCGAACAAGGGTACAGCACCGCGTCTTGGCCACTACAGTTCGTTTCCCTTGTATCGCTTGCACGATTTCGTCAGTGTTTCGCTCTACTCGCCAGCGCCCACTGCGCCCGCACAAAAATTTTCAAGCTATGATTGACGAGGGAAACTGTTACCTCATTTTCAACGTGGTCAGAGCACTGTTGATTCGTGTGGCGGGGAATGTGTCCGCGCTTCTGAAATTACAGGATGGTTGGACTCCACTCACAATGCATTCGTTTCTAGGTACGGTAGTCATTTTTGAACCTCGATACGTGCGTTGGCACGAGAAATCCCGAAATGAACGAACTGGACACGCCCTAAGATAGGTGAATCGGAATTTGTACGCGATACGGACAATTGGACGAGAGAAAAAATAAAAAGAGAGCATGCATAACGGTTGTTTGAGAATGAAGTTTTTATTGGTGGAGTTTTCGTTCGTCCCTTCTGTTATGAGCTGTCAATAGGAAGAGTGCGCAGAAGTCAATAACGGGTTGGGTGCTGGTCAGGGGCTGCCAAGGCCGTAAGTGACGCGGGAAACGTTCGGGAGGCGTCATTGGACGAGTCTAGTCTTCCAGGGAGTTGGAGTCGTACGCATACAGTGTGACCCAGTAAGAAATTATAAATATTCCTCACACATACGCCGCACTGTAGTTACCACAGGTAAAGGACCAGTTCCACACTTCCACCCACCCACTAGCCAAGTTGCGTTGAATGGCGACGGACAGAAATTCGTCGCTCGGCGACAGAACTATGTGTCGCTAGCACACCCGCTCACGTCACACAACAGAGAAATGTTTCGCAATGGTTGTCGCCGCCACCACAACGACACGCGTCGCCACTCGAAGCCGAAGGGGCGTACGGTGGGGAGAGTGAAGGGGGCGCAGGCGAGAGGGAGGGAGGGAGAGCGGAGAGGAGGAGAGGGAGTTGCTGCTGTGTGGTGTGGTTCGATTTCGTGTGGTTCGTGACAGTCCCAGAGAGCATTTAGCCGTTGGATCAACCAATCTGCTTTCAAATGGAGGGCAGGAGCAGGCACCACCATCAGCCTCTCAACTCAACCACTCCGAACAGATCTCCAAGTTTCAATAACGTTTGGAACCGAGATAATGCTGGATTCCGCTGAAGCGGATCGTGAAGCAATTTTCTGGAGCTTTCTCTCCCAGTCGTCCTTATTCAACGTCACGTCCTTATCTCGCCATTTATGTCCTCCGCTTCCGCGTTGCAAGTTTTTCGATTGGGGGATCGGTATGGGACTGTGGGAGGGAGCCCGTTTCCGCTCAAAAACAAGCTTCGAAGGACCTAACGGTCACCGCGATTCGTCAGAACACCCGGCCGTAGATGGCGAGTACAGAACACTGTGCACATCTCGAGCCGCCGATGTCGAGCGACAAGGCGTGGGGGACAATCCTTCCTCAGTCCTGCTGTCTTTTCCGCACATGGCGACACCGCATTGTTTCGCACTCCCTCAAGCGTCGCACGAATTTCAGATATCGACTACTGCCGACGCAACGGAGAGTGGCAACTGTACTCGTACCAGCATCGCACAGTAGTAACACGGATCGTCCGATCTACTTCTAAAGCTGTGCATGATCCATATAGTAAAATTTTCCGCGATGGTGATTGAGCGAAAGCGGCACTGCTGCGAATGGACGTGCCAGCCACACTCAGTATCCGTACAGTTACGCCTCGTCCGCAAGATGCGGAGGCGTCGGGGAGTGATGCAGATCCCGACTCGACTGGGGGGCGGGGCACGCCGATTAGATTCGTCGATTGCAATCGCATCTTTCGTCGTAATCACCCATTCCGGAATGAGATGCTCCGAGCACAGGTTGATCCGTCCGCGTCGCTTTCTCATAGATTCCGGCCTCGGGCTGTCATTCCTAACGGTCATGTTTGGAATTTCAACGGGCGGAAGGAAAGAAAAAGAAGGAATAGGCGTTTCGTTTCCCGGTGCTGCTGCTGATCGCTCGCGTTTCGTTCAATGCTGATCTCCTGATCACACGCCGGCGACACTTCGATTGCTGATCGAGGCAGGTACTCGCTTTCTCAACCTAGGTCGGTCGCCCTACTGCGGTATCACGTAAGAGAATCCTAACTTAAGCAGAGCCTGGGGTTTTCACACTTCCAAACCAGCGCGAGGGTATTGCATGACGAGTCCAGCAGCAGCATCGGTACTACCACGACTGCTAGTAATAGCGAAGCCGCGACAGCGCTCTAACGCGAGATCCGATCAAGGTTCTGCATCACGTACGAGGGAATTCGCACGATCAGTAACTATCACGAAAAGAGACGAAACAAACGCTCCGCAATGGAGGCTTGTGATTATATCGAATTCGGACTCCCGGATCCGTGCTGTACCGGGGCTTTCTCCTGTCCGCGTCGGACCCTCCTAGCACCACCACCACCAGCAACGTGCGAGAACCATCCGTAGGCACGATCAGTTCAGGAACCAGCGGGAGCGCACCGTCCTCCTCCTCCTCCTCTTCCTTCTCATCCTTTTCCTCGTTTCCATCCTGGTCTTCGTTTTCCAACGTCCAGCCTTCTAATGACATCCAGTCTACCAGTGACATCTACTCTTGCCGTGACATCCAGCCTGTCGGGCGAGATCAGGAGGAAGCCACGGTCCTCCACCCAGTCTCCACGTGGGATGACGTGTCGATTCGCCCCGCTGACTCACCCGCCGCCTTATCGGACGGCGGCGGCGGCGGTGGTGTAAGCTTCGCTCGAGCGTTACAGGGTTCGATTGGTGAAAGGAGTTGCGGTAATGAAGCGGCGAGTGTGAATGGGCTAACGGCGGACTCAAATAGGGCGGAAGGGGTTTCAGACTTGATTAGGGCTGGCGAGAGTGTTTCTATGGTGTGCTGCACGCCGCGGAATTCATGGGTGCAAATCGAGGCGGCTTATAACGAGGCGTGGCACCCGCTTCGCGTTCGCCAAGTGGACGGGTTACCCGCTCATTACAGTCACAATCTCGATTGGAACCTCGGGATCATCCCGCAGACGTGCTCCTGTCGCCAAGGCGACATCGTCGCAGGAAATCTCCAGTCTGGATCTGGCGACAAGACATGCGACGCGGCGACATGCGGGACCATGTGCGACAATGCGCGCGACAGTGCGTGCGACCTTTCGTGCGACCAGCACGCCCCTTTAGAGGTGATCGAAATCGGGCGCGGGGAGGCGCGAGTAGGGCAGGTGTATCTGGTGAAGCCGCTGCTCGCGTTCCTCGTCGTCAGCCCGGATCTCGAGTCCTCCTGGAAGATTGTGGCCGTAGATTCGTCGGATCCGATGGCTGCGGCGCTGCTGGATTCGCGAAGTGGTTACCCGGTTTGGTTGGAAGGGAAGCTGCGCGAAATAGTGGAGTGGCTGAAATACTACAAGTGTAACACCGTGTGTACGTGGAGCCTCCTCTCTCTCTCGCATGAGCAAATGTTTTTCCATCAATAATAATAACTGACGCGTGAAGTGCACATGTCACCTCACCTCACCTCCCTCGCCACCTCAGTTCCCACTGGGTAGCGAGGCGTTACAACCGAACTATGCACCTCCCTAATACCCCTTCCATGCTCTCTCATGCCCTGCTCCCTGGCTCCTCCCCCCCTCTTACCCACCCTGATCTCCCCAGTCCCCCACCCTCTTCCGTTTTCTCTCACCGTTTTTTTGTCTGTTGTCCTTCCCCCTGTCCCTCATCCCCTTACCCCTTCTACCCCCTTTCCTTCCCCCGCAAACCCCACCCCTCCCCCCTTTTTCCAGTCGATCTGCCCAGCACCATCGCGGGTTGTGAAAAGCCAGCGCCGTTGCATGGCACCTATTATCCTCCCCCCGCCTCACCTCGCCCGCATTCCTCCCCACCACTTCCCACTCCTCCCCACCACTTCCTTCCACTCCCCACCCCTTCCCACCCCTTACCCCCCACCCCAGTTGATCCGCCGAGCACCATCGCGGGTCGTGAGAAGCCAGCGCCCTTGCATCGCACCATCGCCGCCATCAGTGCCGCCCATGCTGCCTGGACGCACTGCCACCGCCGCCGCCAGTGCTTCTCCTGCTGCCGCACCAACACCACGAGAAGCAGCAGCTGCAACATCAGCGGGAGCAGCTGCAGCAGTGGCGGTGGTGGCAGCACAGGCAGCAGCATTGGGAGGGGCGGCCTTCCTCTGAAGGATCTGAGGCAGCTCGCAGAGCAAACGGCCTCCGCTGCTCTCACCAACGCCATCTCTGAATTCGCCCGCGTGCCCTTCGCCCAACCGGCCTCCGTTGTTGCTGCCGCTGCTGATGCTGATGCCGCTGTTGCTGCTGGTGCTGCTACTGGTGGTGGTGGTGGTGCGGCTGCTGTTGCCGAGCCTCTGAACCAGCAAGCTCGGAAGCAACAACGCGTGTTCCGAAGGTCAGGCTCGGAGCCGGGCAGGTTTGGCATGCGAAAGAAGGCAATTTTCATCAAAATCGAGGAGGAAGCGGATGATGCTAGCGAGTTGGTAACCAGAATCAAGGACACGGGGGAAGAGGAGCGTACATATGCAAGAGAGAGCTGTGGTGGGGGAGGGGAGTGGGAGAGAGGAGGTGAGGAAGCATGGGGTGGATGTGATGATGCAGAAAGGCAGATGAAAGAAAAGCAGCAGCATAAGAAGCAGAAGCTGGGAGGGTTGGCGCGTTTGAAGGAGCGGTGGCAGCAGCAGCGGCAGCTGCAGCAGGGGAAACTGCAGGAGGAAAAGCCGCAAGAGCAGCAGCAGAATCGCCAGCAGCAGCAGCAGCGCCAGCAGCATGAGGAGGGGACGCAGCAAGGAAGGAACCTGACAAGGCATTGGCGGTCGTCCTCGTCCTGTGCCCTCGAGATTCCCACCGGAATGCTGCTAGACCCCCCCTCCCCTGTCACTCGCTCCCACAACCCCTCCCCCTTGACTCGCTCCGCCTCTCCTTTCCTACGCCAATGCCAACCTCTCACGCCTTCCTCCTTGCCGCGCCCCCCCATGCCTCCTCTCGCCCCTCGCCGCCTTCTGCGTGCCTTCTCTCTCTCCTCCTCCTCCCACAAGCAACCGGTGTCACAGTCTATATTAAGCAGCAGCAGCAGCAGCAGCTGCAGTAGCAGTGCTAGCAGTAGCAGCAGCTTCAGCAGCAGCAGCAGTTGCTGCAATGCAATTAACACCAACATTCATCCCAACACAAGCATCAACATCATCAGCAGCAACGCCACCAACAGCACGCAAAAAAAGAGTCGATTGCCTTCCCTTCGCATCCTCATCCCCCCTCCTGTCTTAGACGCCCCACCCACAATCCCTCCCCAAGAGATTCCCTCCACTTTCCTTGATTCGGCCTATTCTCCCTTGAAACCGCCCCCCGGTATGGCCGCTCCTTTGCCCTCTCCCACGCCTTCATCCTTGCCTTCTTCCCTGCCCTCCTCCATGCCCTCTCTTTTCTCCTCGTCCTTTCTCTCTCCCTTCTCCTCCGCCCCTTCGGTCTCTCCATTCATTTCGGTTCAACGGAACTCCACTCCTGTTGGGAGAGGAGGGAGGTACGACTTCCTAACGCCCTTCACTTCGGCTCACATAAGCTCTTCCCCTGTTGGGAGAGGAGGGAGGTACGACTATCGGCGGTCAATATCTGCTCAGACTGAACGGGAGTCTGAAAAATCGCCTGGAAGGGCTGGGAAGCTGGCAAGTTGTGGCAAGTCGGGGGAGGTTGGCAAAATATGCGCCGCTTCCGTTGAGAGAGGGGGGAGGTACGACTATCGGCAGTCAATATCTGCGCAGACCGAGTGGGAGTCCCAAAAACCGCCTGAGAAGGCTGGGAAGCTTGAAAGGCGTGGCAAGTCGGGGGATGCTGGTGTGGGTCTGCTGCCTCATACCCCACTTGAGAAGCGAGGTGCATATGCCCTGCCTGATTCACTGGAAGAGCGGGTTGGGCTGTCCAAGACACCGAGAGCAGGGTCAGATCTTCCTGGGTTTTCAACGGGACGCGTTGGGCTGCCGGGAAAGCCGAGAACGCCGAGTTTGCCTAACACGCCCAACAAGGTGAAAGCGCCGGAATTGCCGAGAACGGCGAAAACGCCCAACACGGTCCAATCCCCAGAAGCGTGCAGTGAGGTGCCGCTGATGAGCGCATGGAAGCTGCTCGGTGCTGATGCCACCCCATGGCTCAACGCTGTGCCGCATGGCGACTGCATGGGCCACCATGCTTTGGCTCAAGGCTCTCCTACGGATTGTGGCGAGCGATGTGGGAGGAGGAGAGGAGCTCCGAGGAAGCTGTGGGTAGTGGGTGATGAGAGCTCATTGGATGGGAGCTATGTCAATGCCACCCCTACGGATCGTCGTTCGTTGGGTGGAGGTTCTCATACGGATTGTGGCGAGCGATGTGGGAGGAGGAGAGGAGCTCCGAGGCATCTGTGGGAGGTGGCTGATGCGGGCTCATTAACTGTGAGCAGTGATATGGGTGATGGGAGTGATGGGAGTGATGGGAGTGAATGGGAAGCGTGTGGTGGCGAGGGGAGCGGGAGGAGGAGAGGTTCGAGGAGGCAGCCGCGGGTGGTGGGTGATGAGAGGCCAGTGGATGGGAGGAGGGATAGGGGTGATGGAAGGAGGGGAAGGGAAGGGTGTGGTGAGGCGAGTGGGAGGAGGAGAGGAGCGAGGAGGCAGCTGTGGGCGGTGGATGATGAGAGGCCAGTGGATGGGAGCAGTGGTAGGGATGGTCATAGGGGTGATGGGTTTGACAAGATTGGGAGTGATTGGGAAGGGTGTGGTGGCGGTGGTGGCAAGGGGAGTGGGGGGAAGGGAGGAGCGAGAAGGCAGCTGTGGGTGGTGGATGATGAGAGGCCAGTGGATGGGAGCAGGGATAGCGGTGGTAGGGATGGAAGGGAAAGGAGTGGCGGCAAGGGGAGTGGGAGGAGGGGAGGAGCAAGGAGACAGCTGTGGGTGATGGCTGATAAGGGCTCAAATGTGGGTGGTGATAGGAGTGATATGGGTGATAGGGAAGGAGGTGGTGGTGGTAGTGGCGATGGCAAGGCTGCTGCTGCCGCTGCTGTTGCTGCTGATGCTGGTGGTGGTGGTGGTGGCGGTGGTGGCGGTGGTGGCGGTGGTGGCGGTGGTGGCGGTGGTGGCGGTGGTGGCGGTGGTGGCGGTGGTGGCGGTGGTGGCGGTGGTGGCGGTGGTGGCGGTGGTGGCGGTGGTGGCGGTGGTGGCGGTGGTGGCGGTGGTGGCGGTGGTGGCGGTGGTGGCGGTGGTGGCGGTGGTGGCGGTGGTGGCGGTGGTGGTGGTGGTGGCGGTGGTGGCGGTGGTGGCGGTGGTGGCGGTGGTGGCGGTGGTGGCGGTGGTGGCGGTGGTGGCGGTGGTGGCGGTGGTGGCGGTGGTGGCGGTGGTGGCGGTGGTGGCGGTGGTGGCGGTGGTGGCGGTGGTGGCGGTGGTGGCGGTGGTGGCGGTGGTGGCGGTGGTGGCGGTGGTGGCGGTGGTGGCGGTGGTGGCGGTGGTGGCGGTGGTGGCGGTGGTGTGACTGCTGCTTTCAGTTCACTTGCAGAAAGAGATACAGCACAGCGGCTCAGCAAGGCGGATGAAGCTGCCAGAAGCAACGGTGACGGCAGCAACGCGTTACCAATGCACAGAACTGGTAGCAGTGGCAGTGGCAGTGCCAGTGCCAGTGCCAGTGCCAGTGCCAGTGCCAGTGCCAGTGCCAGTGCCAGTGCCAGCGCCAGTGCCAGTGCCAGTGCCAGTGCCAGTGCTGGTGCTGGTGGTGCTGGTGGTGCTGGCGGTGCTGGCGGTGCTGGCGGTGCTGGTGCTGGTGCTGCTGGTGCTGCTTTTGGTGCTGGTGCTGGTGAGAAGAGCAGCAGCAACAGCAGGATGCGCAAGGCAGTGTTCAGGAGCAAGGAGGCAGCTGAGGCTGCTGCTGCTGCTGCTGCTGCTGCTGCTGCTGCTGCTGCTGCCAGTGGTGCTGGTGGTGCTGGTGCTGCTGAAGGTGCTGCTGCTGGTGCTGGTGCTGAAAAGAGTGGCGGCAACAGCAGGATGCGCAAGGCAGTGCTGAGGCTGTTCAGGAAGAGCCGAGGGAAAGGGCAGAGCCAGGTCGCACCTTTCCCCATCCCGGATCACCCTCCCCTGCATGCACCTAGTGTTGGGGCGCCTCTGAAGGCGGTTGGGAGGGGGCAGAGTCAGGTCGCACCTTTCCCAGGACCTGACCCCCCTGCCGTGCATGCACCCATTTCTGAGACGCACAAGAACGTGGCTGGTAGGTGGAACCAGGTCTCGCCTTTTCCAAACCCGGAACCCCCCCCTGCCCTGCATGCGCCTATTTGTGGGACGCCCACAAAACCCCCTTCCGGTGGTAGCAGAAGCAGCAACAGAAGAGGCAGCAGTGGCAGCAATTTCAAGTCAGCAGCAGCAGCGTGGGTGGTAGGTCAGCCATTGCCTGTAAAAGCAGGACTTGCCTCTGAGACGATTCAAAAGTCAGCAGCAGCAGAGCTGGTGGCGGGTCAGCCGTTGCCGGTAAAGGCAGGGATTGCTTCTGAGTCATCTCGAAAAGAAGCAGCAGCAGCAGCAGCAGCAGCAGCACCAGCAACACCAGCAGCAGCAGAGCTGGTGGCGGGTCAGCCATTTCCTGTAAAGGCTGGGATTGCTCTCGCATGTATTCTTGCTGCGGCCATTGCCCTTCTCCCCTCTGCTACAGATGCTGCTGCCACAGCCACTGCTGTTACAGCCAGTGGCTCTGCTGAGACTTCCGCCCTCGCCTCCCTCCCCCCTGCTGCTACTCTTGCTGCTGCTTGTGCTGATGCTGCTGCACCTGCTACTACAACCGCTGCTTCTACTGAGGAGCAGCAGCAGAAGCAGCAGCAGAAGCGTGAGGAGGATTGGAGGGAGGAGGAAGAGAGGGATGAGGAAGCGGGGAAGGAGGAAGAGAGGGAGGAGGAAGCGGGGGAGGTGGGATTGAGGGAGGAGGAAGAGAGGGAGGAGGAAGGAAAGGAGGAGGAAGATAGGGAGGAGGAAGAGAGGGAAGAGGAAGAAGGGGAGGAGGAAGCGAGGGAGGAGGAAGAGAGGGGAGACCTAGAGGAGCAGCAGCAGAAGGGTGAGGAGGAGTGGAGGGATATGGGTGAGGGGGGTGTGGGACTCGAGGAGGAAGGGAGGGAGAATGAGTGGAATGACATGGTTGAGAGGAAGCGTATGGGTGTGGAAGCAAAGGAGCAGCAGAAGAGTGAGGAAGAGAGGAGGGATGTGGGTGAGAGGGCTGCGAATCTCAGGGAGGAAGAGAGGGAGAACGGGGATGGGGGGAAGCATAAGGGCAAGGAGAACGAGGAGGAGGAGAACGAGGAGGAGGAGGAGGAGGAGGAGGAGGAGGAGGAGGAGGAGGAGGAGGAGGAGGAGGAGGAGGAGGAGGAGGAGGAGGAGGAGGAGGAGGAGGAGGAGGAGGTTGGTGATGGGTGTGCTTATAGCGAAGCCCTTGCTGACTGTGTGTACAGTGATGATCCTTCATCGAATGGGGATGATGCGTCGGTGAATGCTCTCGAGGAAGATACTCACAGCAGGGATTACTGGAGCACTACAGACGACTGTAGCTGCAGATACGGCTGTGGTAGTAGAGGCGGCTGTAGCAGCAGTTGTAGCAGCAGAGGCAGTGCCTTCGAATGGGCTTTGCAGCGCCACAACAGCATGAGCAGTGCAAACATGGTGTGCAGTGGGGGGGATGCGGGTAGCCTGAGGAGCATGAGCAGTGCAAACATGGTGTGCAAGCAGGGCCTGAGCCTAAGCACATGTGGTTGCCCCTTGGACCGCCCCTCTCGTCGTCAAAATCCGCGTGAACGGATTTTGCAGCGAGGCAACAGCTTGAGTAGTGCAAGCCTAGTAGGCAGTGTGGAGTGTGCGGGCAGTGTGGTGGGGAGTGTGCGGAGTGTGGGCAGTGCGAGTCTGGTATGTGAGCGCATCTTGAGCGTGTGTGACATCTCACCAGTTCCGATCATCCTCTCCTCCCACCTCACCAGCGTGCACCTCAGCAGTATGGGGCTGTCTGGTCGATCTGCGTCTGCAGAGAGCCTTGATGCGTGCAGTGCAGACAGGAGTCTGTACAGAGCAGCTGCAGCAGGAGAAGCAGCAGACAGCATGATTGTTTCAGCTGCCCCGATGTTGCCACGGAGACCAACAGCAGGCCGACAGGTGGGTTTACAGGCGGGTGCGTCTAGACAGCTCCGCCGCACATCCACTTGTCTTGATGATGTTGAGGGCATGTCCTCCTGCCTTATCAGCAGGCAGGAGGGCATGCACCTACAAGCAGTATCAGCAGCAGCAGCAGTAGAAGCAGCAGTTGCATCAGCAGCACCTACCTCAGCAGCGGGCCGACAGGCGGGTGTGTCTAGGAGGCTCCACCGCACCTCCACCTGCCCTGATATTGAGGCCATGCCGCTCCCACTACAATCCCCACTGTCATCCCGTGTTCTCAAGTCACAAGCCTCGCGAGAAGCAGCAGCAGCTTCAGCAGCAGGAGCAGCAGCAGCAGCAGCAGCAGCAGCAAAAGAAATGGTAGAAGAAACAGAAGAAGTAGCAGACGAAGGGGAGGGAGGGAAGGAGGGGCAGGAGTCACTTGAGTCTCGCTTGAGGCGATGGCATGAGAGCATGGGTGTATCATGTACCCTCTCCCTGCCTCTCGATGCCTCCTTGCATCCCCCATCCCCTTTGCATCCTACCCCCACCGGCCTCTTTCTCCCCAGCCTGCCCCACTGGACCAAGCGGTCGCTCCCTCGCTCGCTGCGCATCTCCCGCTCGCTGCTCTCCTTTCAAGAGAGCGCCCTGCTGGAGCATTGCCAGGAGACCACTCTTTTGCATGGCATGGGCGGTGGATGGAAGGATGGGGGAAAGCACAGGGAACTTGATAGGGAAAGTGATAGGGAAAGTGATGGGGAGAACGAGCTTTGGAGTGAGATGAATGAGGAGAGCAACGAGGGGAGCAGTGAGGAGAGGAATGAGAACAGGAAAGGGGGTAGGAGTGTGCGAGTGAAGAGTGAGAGCTTCTTGCTGTCAGCAGCAGCGGCGGCGGTGGCAGCGCCAGTGTCCCCCGGAGAGTCCATCCGGGCGGCTGTGGCCGTCTATTCCGCCTCGAGGGAGTTATGGCGGCCTCCTTGTATACCCAAGCCTGTGAAAAAAACCAAGCTGTGCCTTCCCAGGTACTCCCCGCCTGTGCCTCTTATTGGGCTGGAGAAGCTAATGGAGGGCGCAGCAGGGGGAGGTGGGACTGGTGGTTTTTCTGGGTCTGGTGGGGTTAGTGGTTGGAGTTTGGGGACAGGGTGGTGGGGTGTGGGAGGAGAGACAGGAGAGGAGGGGAGGGAGAGGAAGGAGGAGGCAGGAGAGGCAGGGTGGCTGGGGTTTGAAGGGCTGGCAGATGTGGCAAGGGGGATTATGTGGGGGGGAGGAGGCGATGGAGGTGAAGAGGGGGGGAAGGAGGGGGGGAAGGAGCAGGGTTTGGATGAGGGTGTAGTAGAGAACATTCTGGAAGATTCAGTGAGAGGAGAAGAGGAGACAGGGTTGACTGTACGAGTGGAACGGAAGTGTTTTACTAGAGTGCGGGATGAGGATGATGCTTGGGAGATTGCATGAGAGGGGGCGTAAAGAGGTGGTTGAACAAGGCTTTTGCTGGGCCAGTAGGAAATTACGCTAGGGCATTACATTTGCTGAAGACTTTCATCGATGGGCGTTTCACTGGCCATTACAATAATAATAAATGCATTTTGCGTCGCACCTTGTAGGGGTGCAATCCCTCCTGGTTGGGCGGGAGGCGGTTCATCACTTGCCCAACCAGTTTGCCTGTGCACAGGTATTGGTGAACATTCTCTTGTCTAAATTTGAGCTGGCAAATTTGATACCGGGTGAATCAGGCAATCTGACTGTTGAAAGAGAGTTTGTTTACCCGAAAGAACATCATTACCGGGTAAGCACTTTCCAAATGTTTGCACCATTGTTATTGTACTTCCTCTGCTACTGTCAGCCTGTATCGCGTATCTTTTCCCAACCGCGGGACGACAAGCACACCTGAGAGCATCTCCCGCCTACACTCGGCACAACCCCATACCTCCCGTCATTCCCGCCGCAACTCTCGCTCTTCCATTTCTCCGCCACCTTGCCCCGCCGCCCTTCCCATCCACCCTTTCGTTCGCTTCCTTTTCGCCAACCTTCGCGGAATTCGCACAGCATGGGAGGAGGCGGCGGTGCTGCTGGCGGTTACCCTAACGTCTGGGCGTTAACCGGCGGGTGGTACTGCGACCCGAAATACTGGCGTCGCAACACCGCGTTCGCCTTGGCCGGCATCTTTGTCGTTTGCGTTCCGATCGCCCTGACGTCAGCACGGCTCGAGGTCAGTCGGTCACTATCGTGAATGGATGGATCCGTTTAGTTTCGCTGCGACACGCGCAACACGTGCGACGCGTGCGACACGCGCGACAGGTGCGACGCGTGCGACAGGTGCGACTATATCAGATTGCTTATGTCGTAAGCTTGTGTAAGCCTACTGTATGAGAGGTTTTTTTGGGAAAGCGGGGAGGTGTCAAGTGTTTCGACACGACGTTACGAAATGGCTCGTAACTTTGTATTCACGAGGTGGTAATATCGACGTGGTCGTACGCACGTACGGTAGTTGATCTTGGTGAGCGACGGTTAAGCAGTGCCCCACCAGAGAGCGACGGTTAAGCAGTGCCCCACCAGAGAGCGACGGTTAAGCAGTGCCCCACCAGAGAGCGACGGTTAAGCAGTGCCCCACCAGCGAGCGGCGGCCTGATGTTAGTGCTCGGGTATACCCGTGCTTTCTGCCATGTATTTTTCAAACATACTGACTGTCTCTTTGTGATAATAGTTTGAAAAAGATGTAAAAATACTCAGGCAGGGTGAGTTCGATTCTCGTGCTCGCATATATCAGCGCTGAAGCCTTGAAGTGCCTAAATCTTCTAGTGTGTTTTCAAACATACTGAACATATCATTTACGCGATAATGAATGTGATATCAGACGATTTCTTTTATGGTTTGTAGGTGCGGGTTTACAGACCTTTTTAATTCCCCACTTCCGCCCCTATTTCCTCCCTTCCCACCTGCATCTCTTCTTCCCTCAATCCCTCGCTCCATTCCCTCAAATTCCCTTCATGTGCTTTCCTTTCCCACTCTCCCTCTGCCCCTCCTTGGTACTCTCCCCAAATTCCCCAATCTCCCGATACCCTAATTCTATGCCGTGCATCTCAGTATAAACCGTTTGCTTTGTGCTTCCATGTCTGCCTATAGCCCCCTTGATCGGCTTCCCAATACCTGTGTCGTCGTGTGTCTCACCCCCTCACGACGATCTCCAACCGACCCCAATTGTTCCCAACCATCCCCAACCACGTGATGCATGTTTCAGCAACGGCCGATCGCCCCGAGCCGCGCCATTCCCTCCCAGATGTGGTGCTCCAACTTCCCATCCGAAGCAAAACAAGCATCTGAGGAGTGAGTGTGAAAGACCTTAGGAGCAACGCACAAAGAATTGTGGTCATGGCTTCAGGCAGCGGCGGAATTGTAGGATCAGCACACAACACAATGCTCTCAATGTGCTTCTTTAGATGGCTTCTTCAAGGATTACACTTTTAATTTAGTTACCTAGACAGTTCAGAGTGTGTATATGGCTTCTTAAAGGATTACACTTTTAATTTAGTTACCTAGACAGTTCAGATGAAAGACGCAGGTTTTTCTAGTGCAGTGGCATACATTGATCGGATGCAAGTGAAGCACACCGACAACACCTTGTTTACAGGTGGTGCCCCAAGGTCAGAGCTGGTCCAACCCGAAAAATCCAAATGTCTTACGAGACAATCCGGCTGACCCTATCCCGTTCTGTTCCGAATGTTTCCTTGTGGCTCACTACAGTGTGGATACAGCTCTTCCTGTGTAGCCCGGCCGTGGCTCAGGGCGTATCTTTGGTTCGGGTCATAAGGCTACTTTGGGTCATAAGGCTACTTTGGGTCATAAGGCTACTTTGGGTCATACGCGTTTTCAGCATGACCCTAACAGCACAAAACGCCAGCTATTCCGCACTTCAGAAGGCCACTTTGGGTCATGCGCGATTTCCGCATGACCCGAACAGTAAGATGAACAGTGCCATGACCCAAACCAAAGATACGCCCTCAGAGGTCTGTGACAACTACCTGGCTCTATTCCCACTGCTGTTTTTCTCAGCACTCCTCATCTGTCAATTGTTTCGGCCGAGTTCGAACCAGCCTGGTCCCACAGGCACTCGTTCACAACCTTAAGTGGACAAAATCTGCTTAGCAGATTTGGCCTAGAACTATGCCAAAGTCCCGAGCAGATATCATACACTTATAGTGTACAGAATCTGTCTTGGATTTCCAATGCAGGGTTTGTTTTAAGACAGCCCGGCTACAATCCAATATTCTCCTAAAACTGCTGTGCTCAGAAGGTCGTGAGGTTGCCAACCGAGGGAAATGCGCACTGTACACCCTCAATTCAAAACGAAAAGAGGGCACACGTACAAGTTCTGTGTGGGCTTTCATTCGGACCAGGTCTTGTTCGCCTGAACCGACCAAAGGCGTTACTTCTAGTAGGATCCTCGTCTTGACCATGTTGCTACTACTAACCGTGACTCGCCCTAACAAGATTGCATCTAGGTGTTGTTAGGTGCAACCAGTACTTAGCATTCACTGCTTTTTGTATAACTTCTGACCGTCGGCTCTTAATCATCGTTCAACTTACCGATCGCTGTTCTGATTGGCCAATTGCCATCCGCCATCGGCTCGGTAATGTGATCGCCATGTATGATGGTTCGAGCAACGAACCTTCACCCGAGCGATGAGCTGATAACTCCGCAGCCCTCCTGCTTACCTAATTGTCAGGTCATAAAAGAGGCGCTTTTGATAGTAGTTTGTCGGAAGTTTTAAATGCGTTTGCACCGCACCAGCTTACGGGCTTTCAGACACACCTCGCAGTCACACCTCGCTGATACATTATAACCCGCAACTTAAGAATCACCTGACACGCGTCGCAGACACATTGTATGTCTGAATTGCTCACCTTTCCGCGTGCAATCTCAACGGTTCCGTCTGTTTCCGTAACATTCGTGTAAAGCGCTTCAAGCTTTGGGCCCGGGACGTCATTGCGACGCCTTTGCGACGTCTTTGCGACGCTTGCGACGTCGTTGCGATTGTGTCAAATTAGCTTAGGTTGGGGCACGCCACGTAGCAATGTTTCAATCGGAGAAGTTTCTATCCCAGCCGCACGGGTGGGAGGATCTGCGGAGCAGCGTACTTGCGAGCTTAGTGCTGGCGTGTAAAAACTAGTAGGGCTGGAGCTAGGGCTGGCGCTAGGGTTGGAGCTACTACTAGGTTTGGAGCTAGGGTTGGGACTGGGTAGGGCTAGTGACAGGTTTAGGAGATTAGGCTGGCTTCGTAATAACACGCGCGACGAGGAGAATAAAGAGCTGGGGGCAGCGGCAGCAGAGCAGCAGAGGTGGCGCCGTTAACGAGTCTGCTAAAGAAATAACTATCTCTTATTGCGAAGCTCGATCGCTGGGCGTATGGGCCTGTGCGCTTCGATTTGCAATGGCGGCTCGCAAGAGGAGAAGAAAGCACCTCGTAAGTGATAGCTGGTCGGTTCTTGAACCACTGCGCGGCTTTTATTCGAAATGAGAGAGCGTACTTATAGTTCAGAACTACCAGGGTATATGAACCTGTGCGTTTCGGCATGACGTTTACGCGCGTCTACATGGCGTTTCTGCGCGTCTACATGGCGTTTCTGCGCGTCTACATGGCGTTTACGCGCGTCTACATGGCGTTTCTGCGCTTCAATATGCATTATCGGATTACAAGTGGTGAAAAAGGCGCCTCTTGAGTGGCTTGCCATTCTTGCTTTCCTTCGAAATTTGTGTCTCTCGCCCTGCTTTTTACACATCATGCCAGCCATCATCCTTGCATCCATTCACCACCCTACCCACCCTCCCCTCCCTTTGCCTCCTCCCCTTGCCTCCTCAAGGTACCTACCTATACCATACTCACCTATGCACATCAGTATCGGAGTTGCTTTTACGTGATTCCTCCTCTCCCCTCGCTTCCTCCCTTACCTCCCTGGCCCCCTTGTTCCCTCAATAGCCCTGTTCCTTCATCCTCGCCCCTTCCCCCTTTCCTCTCCCGTCCCCACTCCCTCCCCTTTCTCCTCCCCCTCCCCGTTCCACGTGTCGCTACCACAGAAGCCACGCTCCACGTGTCACTACCACAGGAGTTTAAGTATGAGGTGCTATTAGCAGCAACTAACAACTTCGACCAATCAGCCGTGCTGGGCGAGGGGGGGTTCGGGAAGGTCTACAAGGCCGTGATTCGCGGAGGCAAGGGGGAGGCGAATGGGAACGGCGGAGAGGGGAAGGGAGAAGGTGCGGCAGCGGTGGTTGCGGGACAGGCAGTGGCGATTAAAGTGCTGAATAGTTCCGGGAAGACGAGCGGTTACCGGGAATGGGTGGTGAGTGTCATAGTTTATTCTCGTGGTTATTATCTTAGTTTATACTGTGGTGTATTAACTTTAGTTTACTATCAGAGTCGATCTCTTTGACTCCCCCCTTCCCTCAACCTGGTCTGTCTAAAAAGTGCGGATAGATCAGGCACAATTCTATCGTACCCCTCCCCTTTTTCCTTTTCCCTTTCCCCCCAATCGATTTCTGAATCGCCTCTCCCACCCCAATCTCGTCAGTCTGTCATCTCCTCTTCAGACCTTCCCCCCCCCCCCCCCACCACTCCTCCGTTCTTCCGTTTTCCGGACGGGGATGCTCATGTTGAAGCGTCTCTCCCACCCCAATCTCGTCAGTCTGTCATCTCCTCTTCAGACCTTCCCCTCTCCCCTCCCCACACCACTCCCCCCCGCTCCCACTCCCCCCCCCCCCCCTTACTACGCCTCCGGTCGTCCTTTCTCAGACGGAGGTTCTGATACTAGAGCGCCTCTCCCACCCCAACCTCGTCAGTCTCTTCATCGTCTTACTTATTGTACATACCTTCACCCCGCCCCTCCCGTCCTCAATCCCCCTCTCCTCCTGGCTCAGACGGAAGTGCTGATGCTAGAGCGCCTCTCCCACCCCAACCTCGCCGTCAGTCCACCCTAAACTCTCCACACACAAGTGATTGATAAACGGCATATGCTCTCTCTCCACACACAAGTGATTGATAAACGGCATATGCTCTCTCTCCACACACAAGTGATTGATAAACGGCATATGCTCTCTCTCCACACACAAGTGATTGATAAACGGCATATGCTCTCTCTCCTCTCATCCCCTCCTCGGCCCCCCTCCCCTCCTCGGTCCCCCTCCCCTCCGCGGTCCCCCTCTCCTCTTGGCTCAGACGGAAGTGCTGATGCTAGAGCGCCTCTCCCACCCCGCCCGGCCTCGTCAGCCTGCGCGGGTACTGCGCTCACGGCGAGATGGGCTTGTCTCATCCTCCTAACCCCGCCACGTGTAGAAAGAACATTTTTGAGACGTCTCAAAGATGGGCTTGTCTCGTCCTCCTAACCCCGCCCCTTCGCTCCCGACTCCCCCCCTTTTGAGGCGCCTCAAAAGTAACCCCGCCCCTTCTCTCCCGACTCCCCCCCCCCCCACCCCCTACTTCCCCCTCCCCCCTTTCCTGGCAAACCCTAATCTTGGTTTAGCAGACGGAAGTGCTCATGTTGGAACGCCTCTCCCACCCGAGCCTGGTCAGCCTGCCATCCAGCCCCCCAACAGCCCCCCAATAACCCCCCAACAACCCCCCCTTCCTCCCCCCTTGCTCCTCCCTCCTTGCCTTTCGCAGACGGAAGTGCTCATGTTGGAACGCCTCTCCCACCCCAACCTGGTCAGCCTGCGCGGCTACTGCGCTCACGGCGAGATGGCGTTTCTCGTGTATGAATACGTGTCCAAGGGCGCGCTCAACTACCACCTCTTTTCCAGTGAGTGATTACCACCACCTCACCTCCGTTTCCCCCCTCCCCTTCCCCTACTGCCTCATCTGTTGGTCGCACAAAGACCCTGCGTGTGTGTGTGTGTGTGTGTGTGTGTGTGTGTGTGTGTGTGTGTGTGTGTGTGTGTGTGTGTGTGTGTGTGTGTGTGTGTGCATCTCACCTGCACGGTTACTTTTGAGTCGACTCAAAAGACCCTGCGTGTGTGTGTGTGTGTGTGCATCTCACCTGCACGGTTACTGCGCGCACGGCGACATGGCCGTCCTCCTCGTGTATGAATACGTGTCCAAGGGCGCACTCAACTACCACCTCTTTTCCAGTGAGTCCCTTCGTCCCCAACCAACCTCCCTCCCCTTCTGCCTTACTCGCGAGTTTGTGAAAGAGGCAGTGTAAGTGCGCACGGCGACTTGGCCGTCCTCCTCGTGTATGAATACGTGTCCAATTGCGCGCTCAACTACCACCTCTTTTCCAGTGAGTCTTTCCGTTCCCACCCAACCACCCGCCCCCCACTTACTGCCTTACTCGCGAGTCTGCGAAAGAGCCAGTGTGTGCGCTCACTTACGCATACTGCTGTGCGTTCTCATGGGCGTATGCCAGTGTGTGCGCTCACTCATACTGCTTTAGGTGTGTTTTGAGTCGACTCAAAACACACTTGGAAGGGAGGGAAGGGGAAGGAGAGTGTGCTTTGAGTCGACTCAAAACACACCAAGAGCCAGTGTGTGCGCTCACTCACGCATACTGCTTTACCTGTGAGCCGACCAAAGAGCCTGTCTGTGTGCGTGTTTGAGAATTCTCAAAAACCCGCGTTACCTGGGAGTAGGCCAAAGAGCCATTCCGTGTGCGTGTTTGAGAATTCTCAAAAGCCTGCGTTACCTGTGAGCCGGCCAAAGAGCCTGTCTGTGTGCGTGTTTTGCGTGTTGTCACGATTAATAGCCGCAGATTCGCATGTAGGTAGACGGCGGTGGGCTCTTTCTCTCCTATGAATGAATACGTGTCCAAAGGCGCACTCAACTCAACTACCACCTGATTGAAGAAGTGTTTTGAGACGTCTCAAAACACTTCTCAAAACACTTCTTCAATCACTTTCTTATGAATACGTGTCCAAAGGCGCACTCAACTCAACTACCACCTGATTGAAGAAGTGTTTTGAGACGTCTCAAAACACTTCTCAAAACACTTCTTCAATCACTTTCTTATGAATACGTGTCCAAAGGCGCACTCAACTCAACTACCACCTGATTGAAGAAGTGTTTTGAGACGTCTCAAAACACTTCTCAAAACACTTCTTCAATCACTTTCTTATGAATACGTGTCCAAAGGCGCACTCAACTTAACTACCACCGCGGACAACGTCATCCCTTTGTCATGGGCAGCCGCGGCGTGGGGGCAGATAGCCGCAGGGGCAGGGCAGCTGTGACAGTCCCTTTTCTTTCTGAGTCCCGTTCCCCCCTCCCCCACACCTCGTCATCTTTGCTCCACCCATGGCGGCCGACAATGTGATTCCCCTGTCGTGGCAGCAGCGGGTGCAGATAGCTGTTGGGGCAACAACGGGGCTTCTATGCTATCGCCCCATCGCTTGCTGATTCTCCGCCCCTGCTTCTTCACCCACCCTGTCTGTCTGAACAACAGGTGCTGACAATGTGATTCCCCTGTCGTGGCAGCAGCGGGTGTAGATAGCCGCGGGGGCTGGGGTTGGTTGTTACAGCCCTTCCTTCAGACTCCCTGACTCTGCACTCCTTTTTCTCCCCACCCTGTTTGTTTGAGCAACAGCGGCCGACAATGTGATTCCCCTGTCGTGGCAGCAGCGGGTGCAGATAGCCGTGGGAGCGGCAACAGGGCTGCACCATTTGCACGAGAGGAACATCATTCACCGCGATTTCAAATCGTCCAACATCCTGCTTGACGATGTGAGTGGGTGGTGTGATGTGAGAGAGTGGTGTGTGCGAGTGGTGTGTGTGAGTGGTGTGTGCGAGTGGTGTGTGCGAGTGGTGTGTGCGAGTGGTGTGTGCGAGTGGTGTGTGGGAGTGGCGTGTGTGAGTGGTGTGTGGGAGTGGTGTGTGGGAGTGGCGTGTGCGAGTGGTGTGTGTGCGCATATGCACGCGCGTGTTGTGTGTGTATATGATGCGTCTATCAAGCTGTACCATCTGCACGGAGAGGAACATAACATTACTCACCGGGATTTCAAGTCGTCCAACATCCTGCTTGACGATGTGAGTGACACGTGCGCCATACATGCCATCTAACACACAAGGGGAGAAGGGGGGGGGGGGGGGGGGGGGGAGGGAGGGGGGAGTGGGGAGGGGGGGGTGAGGGGGGGGTAGGTGGGCGGCGGCAACAGGGTTGCACCATCTGCACGAGAGGAACATCATTCGCCGCGACTTCAAGTCGTCTACAATCTTTGCTTGACAATGTGCGTGATTCATGTGTGATATACGCCATATAACTCATTGCTGTGGGGGCGGCAACAGGGTTGCACCATCTGCACGAGAGAAACATCATTCACCGCGACTTCAAGTCGTCTAACTTTTTGCTTGACGATGTGAGTGGGTGGTGTATGTGTGTGTAGTGTATGCATGCATCGATACGAGATCTGTACATGGAAGAATCGAGGTGCACCAATTCCATGAAAAGAAACATCATTCACCAGAACTTCAAGTTGTTTTATATCCTGCTTGACGATGTGACTGTTCCTTTCCCCTCATTTGGAGCTTGGTGGCCGAAGCGAGCGACTTAGGGCTAGCACAGGTGGGCCCGGTGGGAAATCTATGGTTTTTTTTTAGCGAGTTGACTAATAAGCATTTACCTTCTTTTCGCTCACTCCCTCCCTTTCACCTCCCCGCACTCAGAACTTGGTAGCCGGAGTGAGCGACTTTGGGCTGGCCAAGGTGGGCCCGGTGGGGGTTCGTAGGTTGCGTGTGAGTCGAATTCTATAAACGTCTCCATCTCACTCCCTTCCTCCCTTTTTCACTCTCCCTTTTTCTCTCTCCCTTGTTCTCTCTCCTTTTTCTCTCTCCCTTGTTCTCTCTCCTTTTTCTCTCTCCGTTGTTCTCTCTCCTTTTTCTCTCTCCCTGTTGCTCTTTCCCTTCTTCTCTCCTCATTCAGAACTTGGTGGCCAAAGTGAGTGACTCTGGGCTGGCCAAGGTGGGCCCGGTGGGGGATCAGAGGTGGAACTTGAGTCCAGTGTAAATTATGTTTCTCCCCTTTACTTCCTTTGATCTCTTCTTTGCACTCCCTCTCTCCTCCCTCCCTCTCTTTCAGAACCTGGTGGCCAAAGTGAGCGACTTTGGGCTGGCCAAGGTGGGCCCGGTGGGGGATCAGAGCTACGTGGAGACCAAGGTGAAGGGCACACCGGGGTATATCGACCCTGCTTACATGGAGAGGGGTGAGTGAGGGATTCAGAGAGGTGAGTGAGGGATTCAGAGAGGTGTTTGTGTCTGTCCCTGTCTGTCTGTTCGTTTACCAACGTGTTCCCGGTGGGGGATGAGAGTTACGTGGAGACCAAGGTGAAGGGCACACCGGGATACATCGAATCGACCCAGCGTGCATGGAGAGAGGTGAGTGGGTGCACTTCCCGTAACGGTGTGTGTGTTTGTTTGAGCGATGGTTGTGCGCTCCATGGTTTTTTTTTGGGGGGGGGGGGTCACCTTTACCCTTGTGTATGCGTGTGGATTGGTGCTGCTAGAGCTGTATTAGTGGGACCCGTATAACCTCCCTCCCTTCCCCCCTCCCACCCCCCCTCCTCAGGATGGCTCACTTGGAAGTCTGACGTGTATGCCTTTGGAGTGGTGCTGCTGGAGCTTCTTCTGCTTACAGTGATTGTGTAGCCCTTCTCTCTCTTCCTACCTTCCTCCGCTGGTTGGCTCATGGACGGTGAAGTCTGACGTGTATGCGTTTGGACTGGTGCTGCTAGAGCTGCGGCTTACTGTGAATAGTGAGACCCAGACAAGTTACAGCCTCCCTCTGTCCATGCCTCCCTGTCAACCCCCCTTCCTCCCCTCAGGTCGCTTGACGGTGAAGTCTGACGTGTATGCGTTTGGGGTGGTGCTTTTAGAGCTGCTGACTGGCAGGCATGCCACTGACAGCGACAGTGGCAGCTTGGCGCAGTGGGTGTGGGAGGAATCGAAGGTCTACACCCCATCGATAGTTGACGCGAGAATAAAGGATGGGTATTCAGACAAGGGTGGGAGAAAGTTTTTCGCGCTTGCCCGTGCGTGCATAAATGTGAACACTGAGCCCCGACCAGAGATGAGTGACGTGCTAAGTACACTCAATTTGATAGGTAAGATGTGAGGGTATGGAGAGGATGAGATGGGATAAATGAACTTAACCTTGATTGTGATTGCCTTTCTTCTGGCTGCAGAAAGTGTATGACTATCAGATTTGATACAAAACTGCTGTGTTGTCGCTTAACTACTATGGGTTTTGAGTTGAAGGTTTAGGCTTTGGGGTTCAGGGTTTAGGGGTTTAGAGAAACTATTGATAATTACACTTATTCAGGTGACCAACCTAAGTGACGCTTCGCTAGGTGACACTGGCGAAAGATTCAGTTGTACCGTATCGCCCCGGATATAGGCGCCGTCCGATTAAAGGCGCCGGCGCTTCTATCTGGAGCATGGCGCTTATGGCCGGCATTCGATTATAAGCGCCCCCCCCCTGAAAATGCTTTACTTATTATAAGCGCATGCCTAAATTTATTTTTCATTCCTGATTAAAACGGTAACGAACTTCATATTTCTAGCGAGTCACATCACATTTTCACTTTGTTTGACTTTCGCGGACCTCACTGGTTGCGCGTCCAGTCAGTATGAGCTGGCACGCGGGCAAAATGACGCGCCAAAGCTCAGTGCACCGTCAGAAATTCGCCCTCGCGCGATTCTGATTCTGGACGCTGTAAAGTTTTAATTCGGTTCAACTTACGAGACTGAAATGTACATGTTGGTGCGTTTGAATTGTATTTCTGTATGTCTTTATATAAGCGCCGGCGCTTATGGCCGTTATTCAATTACAAGCGCCACCCCTAAAAAAATCGATTTTATTATAAGCGCCGCGGCGCTTATATCCGGGGCGATACGGTATATGCAACTGTTTCAAAACTGCTTGCAAGACCATTCTTGGAGAGCAATTCTTGTGAACAGAGAGCACAATGGAACTTAGAGCAGCTTCCCTTGGCAAGATCACCCAATCCAGCCAAACCGCAGACCATTTTCGAGACAAATGAAAATTGCCTCACAAAATTAACGAACGTGGCAGCTTCACTTGGCAAGATTACACAACCACCCAGCCATACCGCAGACCAAGAATCCCAGCCTTCTTCCTCTCCCCTTGCTCCTGCTCCTCCCTTTTGCTGCTACTGCCGACACTGCTGGTGTTGCTGATGTTACTCCTGCTGCTCATACTACTGATACTCATACTGCTGATGCTGCTGCTGATACTTGTCATGTCCACCTTCCGGAACCCTCTGAAGCTCACAGCAGCAGGTGCAGTCAAGGGTCTGTTGGGCTTCACATCCTCACCATCATCGTTATCAGTGAACTCCTCCTTTGCATCTTTTCCCGCGTTCTCTCCCCCCTCGCTCTCTTCAAGAACCGGCAGGGAAGGTGCATCAGCAGCAGCACCATCAACAGCAGTGGCAGCGGTGGCAGTGGTGGCAGTGGTGGCAGCGGTGGCAGAAGCGTCAGCATCGGCGGCAGCGGCCGCAGCAGCAGCAGCAGCAGCTTCAAGACCACCGTTTGCAGAGACAGTGATTACCAGAGACTCCTCTTCTTGCTGCTTCTGCAACTGCTGCTCCTGCACCTGCTGCTCCTGCACCTGCTGCTGCTCCTGTGCACTCGCCTGCTCTCCCCCTAGGCCTCTCCCACTCCCTGCAGCGCCAAGCCCAGCCCACATTGCCACGCGGTTAACAAAACTCGACGATGCAGAAAGCTGCGCAGTCACAGGCTCTACAGCATCCTTTTGACCAGCTGAACCCTCTTCAACCACCTGTTGCTGCTGCTGGATTGTCTGCTGCTGCTGCTGCTGCTGCTGGGGTGGCTGCTGCTGCTGGTTGTACTGATGCAGGGAGGAGAGGTCGATAGACCCAAACATGGGGCTTGTGGGAAAACTCGCAGTGGGGAAGGAAGGAAAGCTCGATCCAGCTCCCAGGATGGAGAACCGGCGAGCAGGTGTGTTGGCGGGGGGGTGGATGCGAGGAGACGTGCTGGGCTCAGGAGAAAACCCGCCTGTGCCGCACGAAGCATCGGAGAGGCTTCGTGTGTCGTATGGCTCTGAGTCGGAGCACGCGTGATTGTCATCCTCCTTGTCGTTTTGGTGAGTGTCGTTGTCATGACGGTCGTTTGGTTGAGGGTTGCTCAAAAGGGCGTTTTCTGGGAGAGGGTCGATCGGGTGAGCGTCGCCGGGCGGGTATTGGTGGTTGTCGTGGGGTTTGGCGGAGGGTTTGGAGTGCCACTGCTGCCACTGCTGCAGGAGCGAGGGCTTGAGTGTGGACACAGGTTGGGCGTCTTGAGAGGCTGACGTGTTGGCCCTGGGAAGCTGCGCCTTGGCTTGCGGGCCCACCACTATATCCTCCATCATCTCGTATACCTACAAAAGCGGGGTGCAGTGGGATAAGGGGTGGAAAAAGGGAGAGGAAAGGGTAAGAGGAGAGCGTGCAGAGGTGGAGAGCTGGGCCGTGGCATGTGGTGTCATCACTATATCCCTGCATCATCTTTTTTACCTGCGACAAGAAAGGGTAGGAGGGAGGGAAGGAGGGGTGGGTAAGGTGAGAGTGAGGGGGACAAAGGGAGTGAACACACAGGTGGGGGGCCACGCCAAATGCATCAAACGTTAGACAGGGAAGAGCGCCTGCAATTGCCTCGCCTGGTCCCGCTACGGCTACTCACAAGGCACACGTTGGTTATCTTGTCATCGCTCATTCCCCTCGTGCATGCGCCAGCCACGTAGCGGCAGCACTCCGCCACGCGGGCTCTGATGTGCCCATTTGCTGTTGCCTGTACACAGGCCTCTCCCTCCCCCTCCTCCTCCCCCTCCTCCTCCCCCTCCCCTTCCCCCTCCCCTTCCCCTTCCTCCTCCTCCTCCCCATCTTGCTTCCAAGCTGCTGCTGCTGCTACGTCTGAACCATTAACACGCACCCAGCCATCCTGTCGTCTTGCGGGGAGAGAAGACGAGGAGGAGGTGGTGGGGGGAGTGTGGTATGCTGAGGCAGCGGCAGAGAATCCAGCGACAACGAGTGCGGTGAAGAGCTCTGCAAAGAGGTGGGATGGGGGAATGCTCTCCAGCCAGGTAAGGCTCTTCTCCCTGGCGGAATGGAGGAGGGGAGAAGGGGAGAAGAAGGGAAACACACTTGAACAGCTGAGGCAGGGGAGGAGGGGAGAGGAAGAAAGGAAGGAGGGGAGAGAAAGGAAGCGATAAGCAGCTGAAATAGCAGTGGCGGTACCAGCAGGGGCAGGAGTGACAAGAGCACGACCAAACCAGTGTGTACGGGGAGGGAGCAGGGAGGGAAGCTTACGCAGCATAGTCGTAGTCCACCAAGGGGGGTTGGAGAGCGATGGGCAGCGGTCGAGCGCGGTTCCACAGCTGCTGCCACAGGTTATCTGTGAGACACATCAGGGGAAGGCTCTTGTGAGACCATAATCTTTTGACACAAAGGCTAGACACAACGAGCAAAGCTGTTACTCTCTAATAGGGAAGAGTGAAGCGATGATGGACAGAGCTGATTCACTGACCTGAAGCCTTCATCCGCACGCTGAGGTAACCCGTCTTTTTGGGTGTAGAGTCAATTCTTCCCCCTGCAGCGCTCCCTGCAGCCTGGCCCACTTTCTCTCGGCCATGAGACGCGGCACAGGAAGCAGCACATGTGGCAGCACAGGGAGTCTTTGCCTCGGAAGCAAGTTCACGTGTGTGGGAGGTGGGTGAGGGGAGCGAGGCCGAGTCGAGAGTGGGTGTTTGTACAGTGGGAGGTTTGGCAGACGGTGTATGGGGAGAGGGTGAGTGAACGGAAGGCGACTGAGGGAGTGGCGACCAGTCGGGTGGGGAGTACCAGCGAACAAAGTCCTCCAAGACACACCCGGGGTTGGCCGCCTGTGGGGGGGAAACGGGGTGGATGAACGAGAGGGAGGGAGAGAAGGAGAGAGGTGACAGGGAGAAGGGTTGGATGAAAGGGAGAAAGGGAGAGGAAGATGAGGCACGGCATGAGAGGTGGCTGGGCATAAGCCAGGAATACAATACGGCAGGAAAGTCACTTGTTTCAGCATGAGTCCACCACGCATTGGACCTCACTGGTTTACGTTTCACTCTGAATACATGCTTGCCGTGCCCCACTGCACTGCGGCTCACCTTGAAAGATTGCATGTCCGAGAAGAGCTGCTTGTGACCAGTCCCAAAGCTGCACGCACACAACGAGGAAATTAGTTTTAGCAGCAGTTCGGTGGGCCGGGTAGCTGATACAAGGCCGGGATAATGCACAAAAAGGAAGGTCAGCATGGGGCGCAATGCTGGGATGGGATCTACCCTAGCAGAAAAGTTGAAGGATTCGAACCAACGCACATCACTCATATGCTGACCTCCTCCCACTCATCTCTTGGTACACATGATAAGCTCCTTGCTCTCCCTTCCTTCCCCGCTCTCCCACACACTCGACTCTGTCATCAGCAGCCCATCCTGAGTCACATTCAAACACGTTACTAGCTTCTCCCACTCACCTCTTAGTGCGCATGATAAGTTCCTCGCTCTCCCGCACACTTGACTCGGTCATCAGAGGCCCGTCCTGGGTCACAGGGATGCACAGCGGCTCGCCGGTCTCCAGCAACCGCAGGCTCTTTGACTGCTCCTTGACGCCCCTCCGCAGCACACGCCTCCCTGACTGCACCCGCGCATAGCATGCGTCAAGGTGATACTCTGCTGCTGCTGCCCCCGGCGCCGCCCCTGGCGATACCTGACCCGTATGCTCCACTGGTGGGTGATTCCCACATGGCAGAGAGCACGTGTCACATAGAAACAGGTGCTGACCTGGACAGTCCCGATTCCAGCACGGCCCCGCTGCCAGATCATCATCCGCACCGCATGAATCATCTCCAGCTCCTCCTGCTCCTCCCCTTGCTGCTGTGTAAAAGGGAGGCTCCTCAGATGAATTCATAATGCAGTCACAGGATTCCATGCCAGCATTGCCCCCTGCTTCAGGCACGGTGCATGTGGCTTCACTACTGCGATTTAGAGTTTCAGTATCTGCCCATTGTGCTTCCAGCGTCTCCTCTGCTCTGCTCTGCTCCTCTGCTCCTCCTAGGCAAACGTCTCTCGCGCTTCTCCCCGCAGCAACAGCACCTTTTGAAGCATCACAGGGCTCTGAGCCGTCAGTGCTTGCTGCTGACATGTCGCTCCCACAATCAGCCCCTTCTGACAAAACTGCCCTGACATTGCTGCTACTAGGCCTACCCACACCAGCAGCACCTGCAGTAACAGCAAAACCCGCAGCACCTTCTGACAACGATTCCCTGATCTTCCTGCTGCCACCCCTTCCCACAACACCACCACCAGCACCTGTTCCTGCTGCTGCTGAGCCTGGAAGCTTACACGCAAACCCGATAGTCTTGCGTCGGCGCTGGCGGGCGATGCAGCAGTTGAGCAGCTGCAGGTGCTGCATCACCTCGCACAGCCGCAGGTCCGGGCCGTGCCTGCCTGCTGCTACATGCGGCACCGGCACCCCCTGCTTCCACCGCACCCGCAGCTGCAGTGAGGGGCAACAGAATGGAACACCGTGAAAGAGGGAAAAAAGGAAGGGCAACAGTTGTGAGTCGACAAAAAACTTGTCTCAGTTGAGCAGCTGCAGGTGCTGCATCACCTCGCACAGCCGCAGGTCCGGCCCGCCCCTGCCCGCCCCCACGTGCGGCACCGGCACCCCCTGCTTCCACCGCGCCCGCAGCTGCAAGGGAACGCGAGGGGAGAGAGGACAGAGGGAAAACGGGAAAAGAACATCAGAACAGGATGACCTTGATTGTTCCGATAACGCAGCAGCCTCTCTCTCAGGTCCACCTGGATCCGATGGCTTTGTGTCTGCTGCGCTATACTCCTTGCTTCCACCGCGCCCGTAACTGCAAGATAAGACAGACAGGTCACTCACCTGTTCCACCGACGCCAGCCACAGCTGCGCCAGCCACAGCTGCTCCGACCTAAGGCCAGAGTGGTTCCAGCAGCTCACCCGCTCTACCAGCGGGCTCGTTGAGTGGACAGGGCAGCTCACCTGTTCTACGAGCGCCAGCCACAGCTGTGCCATGTCCTTCTCCGAGGGCAGCTCCGCCATGAGCGCAGCAGATACAGGATCCCCCGCAGCCCACCCACCTGCTCCAAGAGCGTCCACAGGGTGGACCCAGCAGCTCACCTGTTCTACCAGCGCCAGCCACAGCTGCGCCATGCCCTTCTCCGAGAGCAGCTCCGCCATGAACGCCGCCACCTGCGCCACAAAGCTGTCCAGATACGACCCATGCACTGAGTGCACCAGAGCGGCCCCTCGGGTCTGCCTAAGGCCAGAGTGGTTCCAACAGCTCACCTGTTCTACCAGCGCCAGCCACAGCTGCGCCATGTCCTTCTCCGAAGGTAGTTCTGCCATGAGCGCCGCCACCTGCGCCACAAAGCTGTCCGGATATGCTCCATGCACTGAGTGCACCAGGGCGGTCGCTGCCAGCGGGGCGGCGTCGCTCGGCTTTTCCTGGGGGGGCTTGCCGTTGCTCGTGCCACTACCGCCGCTGCTGCTGCCGCTGAAGGTGTCGCAGCTGCAATCAAATGCGGCCTCTTCTCCTGTTGCTATAAAAAGAGCACACACAGAAATGAACATCAGGCAGAGTCGTGTTTGTATAAGTGCTATGTGCCTGACTGCGTTAGGGGAAGACAGGGGGGTGTTTGGGAGGGGGGCCTAGCTTCATTCACGACTCTGGTCCGATTCGATTGAAAGCCGTGAGTGGGATGTGCTTGTATCAATGCCCAAGGCGGGCAGCCAATAAAGGTTCCCTAATGGACGAAATGTTAAAAAAAAAACCAGGAATTTTGGGAGCTCTCGAAAGCGACTGAAGATAAAAACCTTGGTACTAACCTAATGAAGCAATAACAAACTTTGGTACTAACCTGAGCTTAAAAGCCTTTGAATCATGTCATCCGTGGTGTCAATGTCGTTTACATTCGATATAGAGGAGAGGGAGAAGGCTCGGCCAATCCCAGCTCCCACAGCCTGTGCGAGGGCAGTGCCCGGCCACTTGCCATTGTGGGCTACCAGGTCCTTGAGCGTCGCAAACGGAGCAGAGTAGCTGCACGCACAGAAGATAACGTTAACGTTAACGTCATGGAAGCATACGGGTTGGTCACTTGTTGTAAGGGGGCCCTCGAAACGAGTGTGCGGATGTGGAGTGGATTTCCAACTGGATTCCAGATACGTTGCCAAATCCGAGGCTAAGTAATTCGGTTGATGGTGGTTGATAGTGGTAGATGGTGGAATGCAGTGGTTTTGTGAGGACCAACGGACCTGACAGCCTGGGCGAGATTGCGCAGGAGCACAGAGGATGGGATATTGGGCGGGTCCACGTTTCCTCCAAAGCTGCACACGCTCGTCGTTGTGCTGCAAGTGCTACCATTCATGTCCTGTGAATGCAGTACAGTACATCACAGTACAGTACACCGTTAATACAGTACAGATACAAACTAAACTTCGCGTCCCCGTGAAATTAACGCTGTCGCTAGTTGTCCTTTTAACGGTAGGGCTTCATCGTTTCAGGTGCCTCAAACATCAATTTCAGGAGATTCTTACCCGTTCCTTAGGATGCCACATGGGAAGCGAGAAAAGCCGTCCGTGCGATCCCACACTGGCAGGGGAGCCGAGGGGAGAAGGGTCCGCAGCACCCCAGTCCTCCTCGTGCTCTAATTCGAGCTCCACCTTCGCCACCACGTAGAAATACCGCTTCCAAAACTCCCGTTCCGAGACCAGCCGAGGCACGAATTCCGAAAAGATTCTGCTCAGGTGATCGTCCGCCTGAATGAACGTAGGGACAAAACGGGATCGGGGAGTTTTAGTCGTCTCGAGATTTGAAAACTGAGAGAAGAAAGGATCACAGAGCACGATCGAACGAACCACGAGATACGGACAGTAAGGTTCAGAAACAAAAGGGTGTCGGAGATCAATGAACTTTCTGATGGTCATTCGTAACGGGTTTTTTTACGGTATTACCTCGAGAATAGCTGGAGCAGAAAGCAGCGCGCTCTCAAGATTCACGTAGTGCTCCGCGCGGTCGTCTGAAACCCCCACCATGAGAAACTTTTGCGGTTCCTGGTGACATCAGAACGCATCCTTACAATTAGGTCAAACGCCTACGTAATGAAAATGATTTAGGAAAAAGAAAAAAAAACCCACACACAAACAGAACAAAAAGGACAGAACGGCCTATCCGGTCATATACCTTTGACAGCTCAGCGACTCTTCTGTTGAGTTCTTCCGAGTGGCTGGTCTTGGGGCTTGCCTTGAGCAACCACGGATAACCCCACCCTGCACATTCCAACGGCCGAGCTCTTAGCGAATGTTTTCATGAAGCACTATAAATTAGAATGAACCTACTGTATCATTCTTCTGAGTTAGGAGGACAGAAACTAAGGTAGGTAAGCACCATGAGAAGGCTGCGGGGGTGTTGGTGGGGATGTCGGAAGGCTAGACGGAATCGGCGCTTCTGACGGAGGTGCGTCGCGTCTTAAATCCGTGAATGCGCGCTTAGCCTTGGTGGTCGCTACTTGAAAAGCTGCATCCACAGAGATTTGCATCTGTCAGTGAACGTCCTGAAACAAACTAAGAAACTCGTGAGCGGCGGAGCTAAGCTAACTAACGGAAGGCCTTCTTCCTCACCTGACGTGGCTTTGGAAACGAAGTCTAGGGTTGACATTTGAGAACTATCAGCGACATCAGAATTCTTCTGTTCAGTCATCTTAGCTTCCGAACGCTTGACCTGTAAGAGTCTAACGTCAGGAATGCGAACGTTTGGGACTTTAACCTCTGGAAATCTAACTTCTGCCATCATCCTAGCTGGCGAAAACTTCGCGAACGAGCTACGCTCCTTCTGCGAAGAAGAACGCCGGAGCTCCGAGTCTCCATTCTGATCCTTGTACCACGTAGGTAAAGTCATCCTAGCCATCGAAAAGGTTGAATAACTCAATGCCAAGTCCTCTAAGGGGTGACTGTCAGCGTCAGCGAAACGGGGGATGTGCGAGACTGACGGACTGTCGCGGCTAGGATAGAAATGATGTCCACCAGCATTCGGGAGTCATTTCTCCGGAATTTGCGGAGTCCTCAGACGGTTCTGGACAGGGGTGAAAGAACCAGCTAGCATCCCAGTCCAGTGAGAACTGGAATTGATGTGACGTGACTGGTCAATCACGTAGAACGTCTTTGGGATTTGGGAGTGGAGAAGGCTGGAAAAGCAGGTTGACTTCTCCATGAGCTGGATGCGCCCGAGCCGAGTTGGTTGGAGAGTGGAAGACACTTGAGAAGTCTGTGTAGAATGTATGAAAACCACGCGGTGGAGTACGTCCTCATACGGTTGAGCAGGATGAAGTGTGATGCGAGGTCTGGCGGGAAAGATGATGTGGTTTGGTTGGATTTGAGAGACCGACTCACTTTTCCTAAATTGGTAGGATCTACGCGGTTGTCTTGTCACTTGGAGGGAAACGAGAGTAGAATCTTGCCCGGCATAGTTGCCGTCGTCGTCTGTGTTGTCGTTCTAATTGACGGTTCGGTGTAGTGTGCGTCTCGTTTGCAGTCGTTGGAACAGTCAGCTTCGCCACTTCCCGTCAAAAACCAATCTGTCAGGGATGACAAAACGTCAACTCTTGCAGCCGTCGTGTCATTCCGACACATCGCCGACAGTCGCCAGAGTTGCCAGCGTGATCTGCGGTAACTGAAACTGCAGATTTGGTGTGCTGTCCAGGACTGGTTTGGTTGGTGAGCCGTGGTGAACTGCTTCGAAGCTCCGTGATACCACCATGAACGATCGACAGGCGAGGCGAGGCGATGCCGGTGGTGACGGGGCGGAATGGGATGGGATGGATGGGTGTGTCTTCAAATAATTGGTTTCCCGCCAGGAGTGCGGCTATAACTCAACAATCCAATTTTAAGGCCTAGGGGCGGTACAATTCTGGTTTAACACATACATGACGAACAGTTAGTTAATATATCAAAAATCTAAATAGGCAAACCGGATCCACACAATCCAGCAATCAAGCTTAACTCATACGCTCTGAAATTGAAAGGTTTGAAATCAGCTATTCACTCCGCGCAAATCGGTACACTTTCCGCTAGACAAGAACCATGATGCATATGTCACGGAGCGGCACAACAGTAACGGGAAATGGAATTCGTCCTTGGGAAGGGTACACAAGATAAATGGTATCCGCGTCACATCGCCATTTCTTACCTTATTGCTGACGCGTGTCCATCTCACTGCTAACTTGCAAGTTGCTAATTGCAGCTGCTTTCCTACAAGTCAATCAGTTGATGCTGCCGACCCTGCAAGATCCTGCAATCGTGCTCATCTCCACAGGCAACCAAAGAGGAATGGCTGCAAGGAGGCGCACGTATCGTCCTTCATGGAAGCTGTCCATAACTTTGGGTCAACGAATCATGTGATTCATCTCGAGAAGCTCGGCACTGCCATCAAGCTTACCCTCAAGAAGGCGAGCCTCAAAGCGGTCATAGAAAGAGTATGGCTCTAGCACTTCATCGGCACAACCAGATCTCAGCGGCAGCAGCTGTAGCTCCCTCAGTAGTTGGTATAGTTCCCTCACTTACCCTGTGGATGCGTAGGGGTCACCAATTTGTTGTTAAATGAGTAGTAAAGACACCCACATTTCTGCGACACTGAACATAAATGGCTTAGGTGACAGAACCAAGCAAGCCCGGATGTCCGACCGAGCTAGAAAAATGGTTAACTTTAATGTAATGATATCAAACTTATATGCTATAGTTTGTGTATGCTATAGTGGGGTAGATTATATGGGGTACAACATTTCTAGGTTTTCCTACTTGTACCCACCTGCTTGCTAGTTCATTCATTTTCCTCATTCTTCACATGGTATAGAGCAAGTTCCCTTGTGGGAACGCTTCTCAGGGCCCACCACCTAACTCGATCTTTTTTTTCCTGCCCGAGGCGTGCCCCATAGGCCGCCCTCACGTCGCGCCCTCCTAGAGGCCCCTCGCGCCACCCTTAGCGGCCCCGTCGCCGTCCTTAGCGACCCCGTCGCCGCCCCTCTAGGCCCCTCGCGGCCCCTTCACGGCCCCGTCGCCGCCGCTCTTGCCCTCTGTTGCTTCTGCTGCTGCGGCCGACCTCGTTGGTTTCGAGTCGGTAGGCGCTGCGTCTGCCCCTAGCGGGAGACGCCGCACCGGCAAGGGCAAGGGGGGCAAGGGCGCTGGAGGGGCTGGCGGGGGTGGCGGTGGAGGCAGTGGAGGGGGTGGGGGTGGTGGTGGGAGTGGTGGCGGGGGTGGAGGTGTCGGTGGCAGTAGTGGAGGCGGAGGAGGCGGCGGCGGTGGCGGAGGGAGCGGAGGCGGCGGAGGTGGCGGAGGCGGCGGAGGTGGCGGAGGCGGCGGAGGCAGCGGTGGAGCTGGTCGCGGCTCTGCGCAGAGGAGTGGCTCCGGTGGTGGTCCGCGCCAGCAGCAGCAGCACAGTCGTGAGACCCCGTCCCCCCAGCAGCTTCGTGAGTGGTACACTGGGCGTCAGCGAGGTGGGGGTACTGGTCCCTGCACCTACGTCCTCCGTACCGGCGACCGCGCTTGTGAGCAGTGCGGGGGCCCGCACTCCACCCAGCGCTGCTTCGGCCGCCTGACGGACGCGTGGCGTCACCAGTTCCCTGACGCCACTGAGATCCCTCGCTAGGGAGAGCTGTCTAGGGCGGGGGTTGCTATCTTTGATCTTGATTATGATGCTATTCTTGCTGCCATGTATGCTGTGTCTACTAGTGATGAGGGTGACTGTTACCTGTGTGTTCCGCCTGACCCGCGCATTGAGGCTGCTGCTCTAGGTGCTGGTGAGGCTGCTGCTCTAGATGCTAGTGCGTCTGCTGCCCCACGTGCTGGTGAGTCTGCTCTCTCAGATACAGCGTTGGCTCAGGCCTTCCACACCTTCACCCTTGACTGGGGTGCTTCCCGCTCCTTCTTTCGAGACCGCACCACCCTTACGCCGCTTAGTCGGCCGGTTGCGGTCTCCCTGGCGGACCCCTCTGGGGGTCCTGTCCTTGCTCGCTTCTCCACTGTCTTACCGTGCCCGGCAGCCCCCTCTGGCACCATGTCAGGTCTCTACCTCCCCTCGTTCTCTACGAACTTGGTGAGTGGAGCTGATCTACAGGATGGGGGGGTTGACCAGTTCACTCCTGCGAGTCAGCGGGTGACCCACTGTACGTGTGCTCGGACGGGCCGACACTTGGCCACGTTTACCCGTCGGCCGGGGTCGAGCCTATACACACTGACTATTGAGTCTCCTCCGGTTGCTGAGTCAGGTCAGGTAGCTGCGTCGAGTCAGGTGTTTGCTGCAGCGTCCAGGTCTGGTCCTGAGTCTGCTCCCTGCTCGTGTCGTCTCCTGTCCCATCAGACTCTCCTTTGGCACCACCGCCTTGGCCACCCCTCCCTGCCTCGTCTCCGAGGCATGGCCTCTCGTGTCCTTGTCTCTGGTCTCCCCCGGTCCCTCCCTCCCCTCCCTCCGGGGCCTGCCCCTACCTGCGTTCCCTGCGTCGAGGGGCGGCAGCGCGCCGCCCCTCACTCCTCCGAGTTTCCTTCGACAGAGGCTCCGCTGCAGACTCTTCACATGGACGTGTGGGGCCCCGCCCGCGTCCGTGGCCAGGGTCACGAGCGTTACTTCCTGTTGGTGGGTGACGACTACTCGCGTTACACCACGGTGTTCCCCTTGCGTAGCAAGGGTGACGTCGCTGAGGTGTTGATCGATTGGATCCGCGCAGCTCGTCTCCAGCTCAGAGAGAGTTTCGGCTCGGACTTTCCTATTCTGCGTCTGCACTCTGACAGAGGCGGGGAGTTTTCCTCTGCCCGTCTGGGAGCCTTCTGTCGTGCACAGGGCATCTGCCAGACCTTCACGCTTCCGGCCTCTCCACAGCAAAATGGGATTGCTGAGCGCCGCATTGGCATGGTCATGGATGTCGCTCGTACGTCCATGATGCATGCGGCTGCCCCCCATTTTCTGTGGCCGTTTGCGGTTCAGAACGCAGCGCATCAGCTCAACCTTCAGCCCCGGGTCTCCTTTGCCAGAGACCTCCCCCACCTTG